CTTTCTAGCACACTTTTATAATACTTTGACAATATTATGATTTTACTCTCTCTCGTCACTAAAATGTCCTCTATAAGTATTACTACTTTCTTCTCCAGAATCCTAGTGCTTTTCACAGCGCTTTGCTGGATTCAGAAGACTGAACTTTTCTGTTGACCGTTAAATGCTGACTAACTTCTACTGACTGTTAACAGCTGCTTTCTCTCTCTCTCTCCACTTTTCTTAGCTCTACCCATACACTCTCAGTCACCAACCAATCACCTCACTCACTCCCCTCCCTCTTCTGAAACTTACCAACATTTAAAGAAACACACACATACAACTTTAAATCATTACAACAACAGTTACAGGTAAGTGCAACTGTTTTCACTTCCGTCTTCTCATGCAGCCCCACATTGGGACCATTAGCGAGGTCTCTCACTAGAACAGCACCTGTAGAATAATCTTGCCCACATCTACTTCTTTCCTCACCTGAAGGTCTAAAGTGTAGTGCTTCACAAATGTGTCCTCTGTCAACCGGGCTGCTGCCTTGCAGATATCCTGCAAGGGAACTGGATGAAATGCAGCCGACGACCTGAGCTCAGGTGGAGTGTGCTTTCACATCGAGCAGACATGGCTCTCTGGATGCCATGTATCAGGAATGGATGGCAGCAACTACCCATCTGGACATGGTCTGGGCTGAAGCAGCTTTGCCCTTCTTGGGGCCGCAATAACAAATAAACAGTGCATTGTTTTCATGAAATAGTTTGGTTCTATCTATATAGTAAAGGAGGGCCCTCCTAACGTCAAGGGCCTTTTCTCCTTCCAAGATCTGAGCGGGGGGAAATACTGGTAAGACAATTTCCTGCGCTAGGTGAAATTTGGAGATGACCTTAGGCAGGAAGTCTAGACTTGGTTTAATATGACTCGCTCACTGAATATCTTCAGAAAAGAGTATCAACCCTGAGTGCTGCCAGTTCAGTGACTCTTCTGGCTGAGATAATGGTCACTAAAAATGCTATCTTCCTTGGGAGTAAAGCTAAGGATCAGGAGGCTAGAGGCTCAAAGGGTGGTTTCATCAGTCTGGCTAACACTAAGGGCAATGACCACTGTGGGACAATACAGGGTGTAGAGGGAAAAACACTGGACAGCCCCTTTAAAAAACACTGAGCCAACTTGTGAGCAAAAACAGTACTTCCCTGCACCTCCTCGTGAAAAGCAGCAGTGGCCGCTGGGTGGATCTTCAGTGAAGACACCACTAAACGGGTCTGTGTCAATGACCACAGGTATTCCAAAACTGATGATAGCGGGCAAGTAAAAGGGCATTCACCTCTAGCAGACATCCAGGACTCAAATCAAGTCCACTTCCTGTCATTAAAATATCTGGTTGAAGGTTGTGGCGGAACGGGCCCGCGTCAGCTGGCAGACCTCGCTCTGCCCACCCCTCCTTTGCCTGACCTGGCACTTGAAGGGGCAGTTTTTCACCACTGCCTCTGGGTATTGCTGCCACCACTGTCCCTGTCTTGGGCTCTGGTTAGGCGCGACAGCCTCCTAACCTCCCTCTGCTGTTGCTAGGAACCCACCTCGGGGCTTCCTGGCAATCTTTGGGGCTCCCCTGGAGAGTTGGCAACTGGCCATTTTGCCCTTGTTCTCCTCCTTAGGGAGTCCCCAACCCACTTCTAGCGTGTCCAAGCGGCTGGGGGAACTATGCGGTACAGAGGGACTTCTCAGTGTCAACAATAAAAGGATTTATTTTGAAACCACTCAACTATATACAGGCATATTAACAGTGAACTGAAGAATCAAAATCAAGGTGGATAATAAATCGCTCCATCTCTCCCTTCACTACACATACCCTGTCTAGATGGTCTGCAGGGCAGGCACATGACTTGCTTTCACTGGAGGAAGTTAGATTAACACAACTCCCAACATGGCCTCTGCCTCCTGCAGACTCCAGCCAACAGCCTGACTGGCTCCAATTCTCATAAACTGGCTTCCCACCCAAAAACTCCCCTATATCAAACAGCCCTTCCCGACCAGGAAGTGCCTCTCCCTCCTGCAGCATTCTGGGGCAGATCTCCTCACAGCCTTGATGGACTTCCTGTCCTCTCTAGGGAGCTGCCTTCAGACTACTGGTTGGAGACGGGGGGGGGGGATGAGGAGGAGACTAGGCCAAGGCCTACCTCGGGTTTGATGGTCCCCTCCTATCTGGCCCACACCAATTTAAACATATACATAAAATGGCGTTTCTCCACAAAGGTTTATGGGCTTGAAGCCAGATATCCCATACCCCTTGGGAGAAGAAGCGCTCTACGGCTGGATCCTCCATGCCGTCAAGTGTAACTGTGCTACATCGTGATGCGACAATGGATTACTTTGAATGTGGTCACACACACTAAATAATCCACTTTCCAACTGGATTTTGCCAGTTCACACAGTAAAATCCAGCTAGAAAGTGCACTGAAAGTGGATTATTTAGCGTATGTGACCACAGCCTTCGATTATTTTCCTGTAAACTCTGGGCCTGCCCAAGTCATCCCTTTGCTTGCCTCATACAAATGACATCAATGTTGGCTAATGTTCCCAACCATGATATGATCAGTAAGTTCCTACTTTACTGCCAGTTTGCTAATTTATTCAGCAGCACAATTTCATCCCCCTCCCCATCTTTTCCTGCCTTTGGTTTTAGTAATCCCATTCACTCTGGGCTATATTTACTGTCCCCTTCGCCCAGGGTGATATATAATTTTTGGTAGCTGGAAAATTGTTTTTCTGTACAATTCACTCTTATTTGTGTTTACTGCAATGGACTTTCATTGGTGTATTACTCAAAATGGCGCAGGATAACACATAATCAGTAGCTGTGTTGTAATGGTCTTTTCTTTAAACGAGTGACGTCTTGGGTGATCAATCTCAATTTAACACTAATGCACAATATTGCTGGTGCACTTGCACAAATTAAAAAAGAGGGAAGGTGATCTGATGGCAGTGATGATGACACCACTGATATCTGCTGCCCTTGAATTTTAAAACTGGATTGTGACCCAGTGCAAGCAGAAAAACAACAAATTAATACTATGGGGAAAAAGACAAAGTGCAGAACACTGGATTCCAAGCCAATTCCAAAATGTGGAGATTGACCACACAGAACACCGAGAGTACGTTCATGTCAGAGTCTCTGGTTTGGTATAGCCAAGAATCGTGAACAAGTTTAGCAGACTGCACAAGGCTTACCATGCAGCAAAGTGTTTTCAGTCTCTGTGTGTGTGCTGATAAGAAACAGAGTTACACGGAGCCTCTTTTATATTCGCAAATGAATAAGAGTACCTTTATTTGTAGAACTCCATTATAGAGAGGAAAGAGTAGAGACAGGATACTAGTCTAATTTTATTTTATTTATTTAACATTAATATCACTAACTAGGGTGGATGCAGATGCAGGATGCATGTCCTGCATCCATGATGTCAAGATGGAGAGATCTGGCAAAGTGTGTGCGTGTGACAGGTGTCAGAAGAGAAGGAAGGAGGTCTTTCCCCCTAAGAATAGCAATCTATCTTCAAAGGGATAGTATCAGAGAGAGAAAGAAAGGATGCTCAGTGTCCTGAGCCCATCTATCTCTCTCACTATTGTAGCCCCCTCTGAACAGCATACAGTCCTTATCTTCCAACAGTTCAGTATGTGAAACAGGCCTCAGAAGAGGAGAGAGACAGACAGCAGTTCTTGGTCCGATTAATGGTTGCTTGCAGGAGGATAGCCTTGCTAGTCTGTTGCAGCAAAAATAAACAGCAGTCTTGTGACACCTGCAAAACAAGCAACACTTTATCCCAGGATAAACTTCCATGCAAATGAAAATGCTCTTCGGTTCTCTACATAGGACAAACCCAACACCAAAGGATAAATGGACACAAAGTTAACACCAGGAATCACAAGACTGAGAAACCTGTAAGAGAACACTCCAGCCTTCCAGGACATTCACTGGGTGACCTCAAGGTAGCTGTTTTATTACAAAGGAACTTCAGAAACAGAATGGAAAGGGAAATTCCTGAATTATAAGTTATTGCAACACTTGGAACAAAAACCTCCCCAGGACTCAACAGGGATATTGGTTTCTTATCTCATTACATATGCTAACTCATTCAGTCCTCACATATGTATTCTCATACAGGGGGACTATACATTCTCTGTATTTTAGTGTATTTCTTTTTCAGAATAGTATATTAAAATACTGAACGTAATACAAGGAATGACATACACTGCTCCCACCTCAAGAGAAAGTAAAAATGCTGTTAGGTGATTTCCATGCTCTGGGAGTGAATGGAGAGTCTCAGATTTATTTTGACAAATTTACTGCTTTACAACTGTTGACCGTATAACCTTAGCTTGTTATTTAATTCTGTTTTTGCATTTCTTAAAACATCTATGTTACATGTTACATGTTAATTTGCTGCTCAGCCCTGTCTAGAAGTTTCAACCTTGCCTCCCATTCCATCGTATTTGAAAAAGTGTGCCACTGTCTTAAAGGTGCCACTGGACTCTAAATTTGTTCTACTGCTTCAGACCAACAGGCTAACTACCTGGATCTAAACTTTCATGGGTTACAGTTCCACTTCTTCAAATGCAATGAGTGGATCCTCACAGCATCCAAAGAAATGCACTTTACGCCACAAAAAAATTTATACCGGAATAAAACATTGCTGCTCTTTCAGGTGCCAAAGACTCCTGTTTATTCTATGGTCCAGCATCAATGGGGCCCCCGCCCCCGGTTTCGGAATAGGAAATAGAACGATTATTCAGCATTCTACTCACCGTTGAGAGGAGGGAGGAAACAAGGAGCTCGCAGAACAGCGACGCGGCGTTCCAGGAATCGGAGCAACCGCCAGTCAAGCTGCCGTTCGATCTCATCGACACTCCGTTGCAAACCCCGCCTATCCCCGGTAGTCTTCGCCTGCTGATTGGGCGAGCGGTTCCCCTGGAGCCGAGAGTCCCGCGCTTCGCCATCTTAGCCCGGGAGAAAAGGAGTTGGGAGCGCGGGAATATTCCGGCGTGCGGGTGGTTCACAGGAGCTGTGGCGGGAGTGTGAGAAGAGGACGCGCGGGGCCTCGCGCTCGCTTTCCCTCCACGCCATGAGCTGCCCTGATTCGACGACTGGGCCCGGCCCCAGTTCCAGCCGCCTCTTGCCGCTGCTGGAGACCCTGCAGGACGACGCCGCTTCGCCGGGGTCGTTAACGGACGCGCTGCTGACCCTCACCAAGTGAGTGCCCCGCCTGCGTAGCAGGGAAACAAACACAAACCAGGTTTCAATTTGAGCCAGCGCTTGGGTCCTTTTCCTGTCCCTGTTTTGGGAGCGTGAAGTGATGGGAAAGGAGAAAGTCTCTGACCACGTGCAGAGTGCTCCTGCTTGAGCGGCCCGCTTTCGTGAGTCTGCGGTTGGACTCGGGCCGTTTGCTCTTCCGGTTTGTCTTGAGGGTTGTGGGGCTCCTACTTTGACACACACACCCCTTCAGATTACCAGGAGTTGTGTCTTTTTTTAGTACTTTGCAATTGCGAACAGCAGCAAAAAGCACCCTGATGTGTGGGTGTGTTTGTTTATACACATACTCGTTTTCTTGTAGTTGTGTAGTTTAAGTCAATTCAATATGTAGATTGTCTGTTTATACACGACTTTCATTTGCCAGTGACTTTTTAAAATGACAGCACAATGGTTCTTTTCGGTCTGGTGTGTTGTAAATCACTTTAACTTTCTGCAGCACATGGAAGTAAACCGGTGCATAAATAAATCCTTATTCAACATCTGAAATATGCCCTGTTTGGACTATAAAGAATAGTTTGCCTGTTGAATTTCTGCTGGATCCTTCCCACTCAAAATTTGGGCTATAACCTTGCTCCTCTCTTTAGGAGAAGATCAGGAAGGGCAGGGTGGAGGCTGTTTTCTGTGAAATGTGAATTGGGGAAATTACCTCTATGCAAATAGTCTGAACACTAGAGATTGGGAGAGCTGCAGTATCATTTATTTAAGTTAGATTCAGGTGGGGTAGCCATGTTGGTCTGAATCAGCAATACAAAGTTTGAGTCCAGTTGCACCTTTAAGACCAACTAAGTTTTAATCAAGGTACAAGCTTTTGTGTGTAAGCACAGTTTTTCAGATACAGTGAAACAGAATTTCCCCAACCATTACATATAGGAAAGGTTAGTTGCAAGGAAGGCCTAGATAGAGTCATAAGTCCAACAATACCTTCAAGACCAACAAAGTTCAATTCTGGTTATAAGCAAGAACGGAGAAACTTAGTATGTGCGGATGCACACTCCTTCAGATACATTGAAACAGATTTCCTCAAATATTGCATATAACTGTGGGAGAGGGTTAGTTGCCAGGAAGAGCTAATTAGAGTCAAGATACATAAGTAACTGAGCGATAAATACAGATTGGAATAACATGTTTGGTAAGACCTGTAAATAGCAGCAAATCGGCATACAGATAATAAAGGCGTAAACAACAGATGTGAGAACTAAGTTTGAGTCCAGTGGCACCTTTAAGACCCACAAAGTGTAATTTTCGGGTAGAAGTGAGAACTGAGTGACCTAGCATGTATAGTGAGAGAAAAAACTGATATCTCTATTAAAAAACTGATATCTCTTTTAAGCCCTGGGGGTTTCATTGTCCTGAGTACTGTAATAACTTGTAATTCAGCAGTTTCATGTTCCAATCTATTTCTGAAATTCTGAAAGTGTAATTGAAGTCCCCCATTGAGTGCCCTTGGAGGTTGAAATGTTCCCCTACAGGTTACTCAGTTTCGTGATTCCTGATATCAGATTTGTGTCCATTTATTCTTTGGCCTAGTGTTTGACCTGTTGGTCCTAAGTAGAAAACTGAGGGGAATTGTTGGCATTTAATAGCATATACAGTGCTAGAAGATGAGCAAGTGAATAAGCTTGAGATGGTGTGGTTCATGCTGTTAGGTTCAGTGGTTGTGTTGTCTGGGTTTATGTGACAGCAAATTTGACGTCTGGGTTTATTGTAGGCTCTGGTACCAGTGTCCATGTTCAAACTAGATGTTGTATTACTTTAAGGCAGTGTTATTGACTAAGGTCTGCAAATGTCATAAACTAGATCCTACTATCTAAGTGTACTATGTGTTTATCACTGCTGATTTCACTGAGTGAGTAGAATTGTTAGTTTTAGGATTAGCATATCAATTTCATGGATGTTCTGTTTTCCTCATTTAACTGTTCTATCATGATTGGCTTTTATTTGCCTTTTATGTTTCTAAAGATACATTTGCACCAACATGTTTCCTGAGATGCTCTTTGAAATAGATCCTAGGTGGAATCCCCTCAAGATTTGGTTGATGTCTGAACAGGCATAGATACGTATCCCTCCTCAGTCTGCTCCTAAAGTGGTGTGTATAGATGGATCTGTTAGCAGTAAAGGCTTCTTTACAGCCAGTTTGATGTAGTGGTTAGGAGTGCAGAGTGTAATCTGGGAGAACTGGGTTTGATTCCCCACTCCTACGCATGCAGCTGCTGGTGTGACCTTGGGTCAGTGACAAGTTCTTTCGGAGCTGTTCTCTCCGAAAGTTCTCAAAAGAGCTCTCTCAGCCCCACCTGCCTCACAGGGTGTCTGTTGTGGGGAGGGGGAAAGAAAAGGAGATTGTAAGCTGCTCTGAGACTTCTTCGGGTAGTGAAGGGTGGAGTATAAATCCAACCTCTTCTTCTTCTATTTGCTGTTTGAAACTATCAGAGAAATCCACTGCAGCCACTAAGCAAGTAGATCATTCCCAGCAGACTGAAAAGGGTTCTATTTTTAAGTTCTCATTAACTGCACTCCTGGTGATAGATCATACTTAAAAGCAGGGGTCATTTGGGGGGGGGACGCGGGGGGACGCCATCCCCCCGGGTGAGGTGTGGGAGGGTGAGGCCTGGAGCTCCCTGCTGGTGCCCGCTGGAGGTCGCCGCCGGCTGTGGGGAGGACACACTTCCGGTGATGTCAGGGGGTGTGGCATATGCTAATGAGTTATGCTAATGAGTCCCCCTAGCTCTTTTTCTACGAAATGACCCCTGCTTAAAAGGCATTTACTCCCCAATATAATCCATAGACATTTTGTAATCAACTTTATATTTTCCATATATGAATAGATTTATATTTAAAATAAGTTCTGCTGTATTGTTGCATGTCAATAGGTATGGTGGACAGACTGTGGAAAGGTGAGCCTATTATATTGCAGACACCCCAAAGAAATACACATACACCCCTATTTATACTCCCATAAAGTTCCTGTCATCTACTGTTATGCGTAAAGAATAGGTTTTAACCATGCATAAAAGCTGTTCCTGAGTGCTATAAGAATGAATAGCTGCCTTGAGTGATGGGTATGTTTTGTCTGCTCTTAGCTATATCCCATACTACATGCTGTTTAATACAGCATTCACTATAGAGAACTAAGAAAGCCACACTGCTTCATCTGGTGGAATGCTAGAGTACAATATGATCCTAGGTTTTTGAGAATGTGGCTATAAACTGGGAACTGTTTGTAGTGGGATGGATGTACTACCATACTGAACATCTTCATTATGAATGAACAAGAAGTGGCAACCCGCAATATTCGCAGGGGGGGGAGCTCCACGCAGAGGAGGGAGCTGCCACAGGTGAGCCTTTTCTCCTTCTCCCCCGGGCCCGCCTCCCCCCCCCCCAGTGGCGGCAACAGTGAGAGCTGAGCGGCTCATAGCCGCTGGCCCGCCAAGCCTTCCCCCCCCCAGCGGCGGTGGCAGTGAGGCAGTTCTCAGCATTTCCTGCGTATGCTCTTTTAAACTATAGTTTTTTATAGATTTCAGATTTTCCTGCACATCTGGGGATTGCCCCAAATGTGCAGGAAAATCTCTTTGCCCCCTAGGTGCCCCCGATGTGCACCTTGGCTATTAGATATATAGACAAGTGGATATCCGCAAGAAACGTGCGAGATGGTTATCCTATTCCTCACACCTTTGCTTCCTCCTCTCTCTCTCCTCCATGTATGGTTTGGAGGGTGAAGTCTATGGCATTATACTGATCTGTAGTTCTTCCCCTTCTCAAATCCCAGCCTCCCCAGGCTCCACCCCTCAAATGTCCAGGAATTTCCCAACCTGGAGTTGGCAACACAATTTCCTTCCCACCCAACAGCCAACCTACCTTTATCTGCCTCCCTGTCTTCAGCTTTCCGTCTCCACACCCCTCCCCCACAGCCTCTACCTAGGAAAATTACAGTCTTTCTCCACAGTGGTGTTTGGCTTGAGCCAAATATTAGCAACTGATTGCCATCACACAAAGTCTGTGCAGTACCGGGCAAAGCTACTCCAGTTTAAGCCTGTTCGTTCTAGTAGTTTAGATTGAAGTAATTCTGCATAGGATTGCACTGCTAATGTTTCGTAAAGTAACGCAATATCTTTTCGAGCCTTGTGTGTTTCACTTTCTTAAACGTAATGTTTTAATTTCAAAGGGTTGAAGCCAAAAAAATCGTATTCAGCTATGCTTTAAAACATGCAATTTTATTGCCTGGTTAAGCTTGGTTATTTATGTGAAACTGGCTAACAAATACTGATTTGTGTATTTTCTATTTTAGTCGTCTAACTGGTGAGGAAGGAAAAGAGTTTTCAGCAGAAGTTGGAAAATACTTTCCACAACTCTACAAGATATTTAAGGTGTGCATTTAAACTTCTCCATTTATTTTCTGTGGCCCAGTTTGCTGTACCCGGCCCAGTTCCACAGGCCGTATCAAGGCTACCCCACCCCCTCTGCAATCACTCTTGTTCCCACAACTTTCTTCACTTTTCTGGTAGCTGTTACCTGACTGGTCTCAGTATCTATGGTCTCTCATAGTATTTGTAGTGCCATCTTACACTCGCACTCTACAGTACAATGATTTGCAGAGTTAGTCCAGTCTAAGCCACTAGTTTTAAATGGATTTAGACTGGAGTAACTCTGCATAAGATTGCAATGTTAATAGAATTTTCCTCAATAGCTCATCCGTATCATAAAGCTGCTTCTGAAACTCAGATGGGGGGGGGCGGTGGAAAAACAGCTTTTAATGTTGTGCAGTGGAGCTGTTGCTGGGAAAAGAATTCTAAGGGGCTGTTGTTCACATCTAGTTACAAGCGAAATCATTCATGCAAGACCAAAGGGACTTGAAATTGTGACTGGGTTTTTTGTGCATTAATGCATTTCTTGAGTTCAAAGGTTTCACAGTAGTAAGAATGCTGTTGAGTGTAACATATCTGGATTCTGATGTGCAGTCAGAGGAGTGGTTTATAAAGAAGCTAACTGGGAGCGCAGCATGTAACGAGATATTTAAAAACAAGAATAATATATGACCTGTTTATAACTACCTGTTTTATGCCATCAGTCTGAAGTCCAGAACAACACATATAATTTAACTGGGTAATATGTCACATGAGTTCAAATATGTTTTTCTCCCCCTTTTTTGTAGACACACATACCTACTGAAAACTCAGACTTGAGCAGTGCAGCCTTACAGGCATTGGGATTCTGTGTATTTAATGCAAAGATTGCTTCTCAATTATGTGGTAAAAACCTTTTTATCTCCATTTCAAAAATTGCTTGCATGTATGTAATCCAAATCTGGCTCTAGATTTGAAGACTACTCAGTACTTAGCTTCATTATGAATGGAATAATTAACTCATCCTAATTTATTCTGTTGATTATTGAAAATAAGTGATGGGGTTTTCAGGGAAGTTGTTGTATGCTGTAAGCTGCCCTGAGCCCACATGGGATAGGGCAGGGTATAAATTGAATTATTATCGTCGTCGACGACGATGATGATGATGCAGATCTTTCTCCATATTGTCCAAGCAGCCACTGTTTAGACTTGAAACTTCTTTCTGAGGATCAGGAATCCTCACAAGCAAAATATGCGGGGTGGTGGTGGACACACACCTGATAAAACTACCCTGTTCTCCCTCTCCTGCTTGTGGCTTGCATCAGCAAAGGGAGGCAATGATATCAGATCCCACTGACCTTATTGCTGTAGGTACCCCATCCTGTGAACTTTTTCTTTGAAGAATCCTGTTGGATCCAATTCGTGGTTTTGCACCAAAATGCTGTTCATATCACGGCGTGCATTTCTCTATTCATTCTGGCCCGGTGAGCCTGAATCGTCAGAGTAATCAGTAGTGCTGCTGTACCCTGGATGCAAGTCTCGAGCTGAGAAAATACCTGTAATTTGCTTATCAGTTCAGTGGTTCTGAAAGCTCTCTCTTGGGTCAACAGGCATGTAAAACTTGAGTGAAGCAAGAATGACTTTGAAGGGCTATTCGGAGCTAAGAGGCTGATAGTCATGAGCAGATGGGCAAAGAAGGAGAGGGACTGTGTTTCCTCTTGGTCATTCTAAGCAGTTTTTTCCCCCTTTGTGTTCTTGAATAGGGTAGGCAAACTCTGTGATAAGTCTTCAGAGTAATAGAAAATCAGTTTTGTTCACTTACAGAAACAGAAATACAGGAATTGCTTTCAATAGTGAGCAGTGTTGCTGTAAAGGCATCTGACAAGAACATTCGCACTAGAGCACTTTGGGTAATCTCTAAGCAGTCCTTTCCTCCAGATGTTGTTGGAGAAATGGTGAGTGTCTTTTGTTCATTTCCTCGAAACCGAATTTTTAAAAAATTCTGGTTTACCTACATCTCGCTTGTTTTTCAGGTGCCCAGTATTATTACAATGCTAGAAACAATACTTAATAAAGGAGACTTACTTTCGATGGTGGTTGAATATGAAGCCCTGAATGTTATCATACGGTATGTATGGGGAAGAAATCTGTCAAAATGGTTTTAAAAAACCCCCGGGTTTCCTGGAATACTACTAAACCAGTGGTTTAACAATCTCTGTGTTATATATGCACATCTAAATTATTTCTTTTTTATTTCTATCATAAAGAAAAACACAAGTGGTGAAAAATACATAGTTCCCAGTTTTAAATATGCATACCTCAGGAATAACACGGACATTTCATGTTATCTATTTGCAAACCAAATATAATTGTTGCAGACATTTTCAGAAAATGAAAGTGCCAGGTTTCTATTATTGCACTGTTAACAGCCTGTAAATTCCTTCACACTTTCCCCTCAGCTAATTCCATATAGATACCTAACTTCCATGTACAGCAGAGATCTAAGGGATGTACCTCTTTTGTTTTGATAAACCACTCTTGTTTCTTTGGAAGAATTTTCTTGCTTCCATAACTTTGCAAAAAACAATCTACCCACTGTTAGTAAGTTTAAAATAATCCAGTAAACTTTGCTTCTGGTGACAAAGAAGAGGGAGTCCCTTTTGACCACCACAGATGTTTTGGGAGGATCATATGAGCTGCATGGATAGAAGCTGTGTGGGTCAGGGCATTGTGTAAAATTGGACAAAGATGATACTTGGATCCAACCCATAATCTGTAAGCATTCACAAATGTTTCTGACAGTCTTTTTCAGCAGCTAACATGGTTATGTTCTTAGTATTGGCCCTTGTATTTTTGAACTTAGGCTCATAGAACAGGCTCCGTCCTGCATGGAGGAACAAGCTGTCAGATGGGCCAAGCTCATCGTTCCTTTGGTTGTCCATTCGGCACATAAAGTACAGTTAAGAGGCGCTACTGCATTGGAGATGGGAATGCCACTTTTACTTCAGAAACAGCAGGAAGTAGCAGCAGTCACTGAAGAACTCATGACTACTGTAAGTTTTTTAAAAAACAACATTCTTATTTAGAACTTTATAGAAGTATTTGGGGATGTAAAATTTCTCTCATGTGCTGAAACATCCACTATCTGATGCTCTAATATTAAGCTGACATGTGAATTGTAATTTTTAATTAATAAAACATTGACTGTAACAACCATCTGTTGAATACTTGGTTATCTGCTTATGACTGTCTTACAGTATGACTTTCAGAATGAAATATTGCTAAGAATTGAGATATGACATTAACTTTTTATTCTTAAGCATTCTTAGGTGATGGGGGTGGGTGGGATTGGTTTGGATCAACCTGGCCACAGGAGCATGTATGTTCAGTTCTGTAGCCACTGTGCAAGTTTTTTTAAGGTCTAATTTAAAATTAACTTTCCAAAATAATCCAAGTTGTTTGACTATAGGACATATTTATTGATTTTGTTTTTCCGTATATATTTTCTTTGCAGAAAGTAATTCCAGAACTTCAGAAACTATTTTCATCAAAAAATGATACATATGTTTTGAAACTGTGGCCTCTGTTTGTTAAGCTGCTTGGGAAAGTAAGTTGGACAAGGATTCATTTTTAACGAATGTAAGTTTTGATTGAATGGATGTCTTAATCATGAAGTGACTTACTTTTCCAGACCCTGCATCGAAGTGGAAGCTTTATCAACTCGCTGCTGCAGTTAGAAGAACTTGGATTTCGAAGTGGGTCACTAGTGGTAAAGAAAATAGCTTTCATTGCATGGAAGAGTCTGATAGATAACTTTGCTCTAAATCCGGGTGAGTTAACATAATAAGCAATTTTTGGCCTATTTCGCATTAAGCTGAAAATGATGTGTTGCGTTTTTCATGTATACATTTGGAAGCAAGTCACCTTGCTCTTAGAAATCAGTTCTAATTTAGCATGCTGTGGATCACAGCTAAAATCTAGTAGAGTTTTATGTGCACAAGTCAAACATACAGACTTTTTTTAAAAAGTAGTGTTTAGGATGCATTTGTGAGTTCTGTCCGAAGTGGCAAATAACCTTTCTCTGTATATGAGGGTGTCTTTCAGCTCTGTGCTGGGGAGCAGAGATTTAAACAAGTTGAGAAGCATTCTTGAAAGTTTAATATGTATCCTGATCATTAAAACGATTTGCCACATTTACATGCACTTAGGTGTTGCCATTTGAAATCAAAACAGGAATAGGTTGCTCAAAGGGCCTGGGTTATATAGATTTTTTTCTCTTTGAGTATTTCACATATACAACAGCAGTATTAACTGCTTACAATACAATTTCAGAAATGTTTGTTTTAGGATGCTGTTCTCTGGACTCTTCCTACAAGTGATTGTTTGCAGTTATTTGCAAAATGAGCTGATAAATGCATTTTTAATTGATGAAGAATGGGAATTTTGTAAATGGTATAATTTCCACATTGTTGTGGTTGGATTTTTTAGGCATTTGGGGGAAAGGACAGGTTTCTAAATTTCCGATTTGCATCTCTAATCTAAACTTCTGTAGGTAAATCACTGAAGCTTTGGAAAGTTCTAATTTGACTGTTTGCTGCTTTGTGTCTGAGGCGTGCCAGCTCATATAGGTCAGAAGGGACGAGCTGAGTTTTGGCTTCACTCTAGAGAGCAGAGAAATTATGTTTTAATATTTTTGTTTCCCAAGAAATCTTATGCAGTGCAAAGAGGCTGAAATTGCTAATGCAGCCGTTGAGCTCCATCCATGTGAGGACTGAAGCTCTGGCACTGACCAAGCTGGAGGTCTGGTGGTATCTGCTGATGAGGCTGGGGCCTCAACTCCCAGCCCACTTTGAACAGGTAGCCAATTCTCACATATCACCATCCCTGGAGCTTACTATGAATCCCTTTCCTCATCACTTGGATCTCTGTTATTTGAAGGTTGAATCTCAAGCAGCATTTTGAGAAGTGTTAATGGTCTGTAGCCGGAGAGAGAAGGCAGAAAAATTCAATTCCAGTGATGGAATTTAGTCTGGAGTAAACCCAGATGGAGCTGCGGTGGCTCAAGTGGTTAAGATGCTGAACTGCAGGCTGTGGAAGGTCGGTAGTTCAGCAGTTCGAGACCTGAGTGTGCTGCTTGATGGAGTGAGCTCCCGTCTCTAGTTCCAGCTCCTGCCAACCTAGCAGTTCGAAAGCAAGAAATTGCAAGTAGATAAATAGGTACCACCTCTGTGGGAAGGTAACAGCGTTCTGTGTGCCTCGGCGTCTAGTCATGCCGGCCATATGACCACGGAAATGTCTTCGGACAGCACTGGCTCTTCGGCGTTGAAACGGAGATGAGCACCGCAACCCTAGAGTCGGATTTGACTGGCTTTCGAGCAAGGGAACCTTTACCTTTTTAAACCCAGATATTTGGTATTAATGGAAGCAGAGTTTCCAGATAATCAGAAATGAGGAACTTTAAGCTAATGCTACAGAGCCATTGAAAGGAAGTCCAGTTTAATCCAGAGAATTCTGAGCTAAGTGAGTGGGATAAACTCAGATTAAATTGTTGTGGATGGTGTGGTTTATGGATAAAAGTTCAGTAGTGCCTGGATGCTTCATTCTGTAGTGTCTTAAGTATGTTTTCTGTGATGATGGCACTGGGGTGATTGGCTTTCTTTTGCATGCGTTGTATAGTTATTTATGAAATCACTTATATCCCGCCTTTTCTCATGGTTCAAAGCCATTTGAGCCAGCACAGTGTGTTGATTAAGAGTGTGGGATTAGGATCTGGGTGACGCATCGAATCCCCCCTCTGCCATGGAAGCTTGCTGGGTGGGCTTGGGCCAGCCACACACTCTCAGCCTAAACTATCTGACAGTGTTGTTGCGAGAATAAAGTGGAGGAGAGGAGAACAATGTAAGCTGCTTTGGATTGCTTTGGAGAAAGGCGGGATATATGTAAGGTAAATAAAGTTTACAATAATAGTTAATAACATTACCCCCTTTAGTAGGCATAGACTTTACTGTGTTCAGTAGGTTCATGCACATGACCATCAATAGAACAATGCAACTGAGACCAAATTTGCAAAGTATATTTGTGTTTCTTGTACATTGTATGTGCAGTGATGTGTTATGCACTGTCTTTGAAGGTTTGTGTACCATTAATTCAGAGCACTTTAGGCTCGGATGCCTCTCTGTTACAAGGAAATTCTTCACGGCTATCTACTAACCAGAGTTTAGCGACCCCAGGTTCTGCACAGAAATCAGGTATGAGATCTAGTAACAATTTCTAGGTTGGGAAACAAGATATGAGCTTCACTGTTAACTCATTTATGAACATAGCAAATCTCTGTTGTGCTGCAGCAGCTCAACACTGGTGCCGCTAGACACCTCCCTAAGGGGAAAGTTACACAGCAGCTGAATTGGGGGGGGGGGGAGTGCTCCGTCAGTGTTGGCAGACACTACTGTGATGGCGCCAGGGGTTTCCGCCACAGTGTTCTGTCCCAACATTGTTGCTAGGCAGGACCACTGGGAGCCATGAGTTGATGGGGCTGAGTCAAGTGTCTGTTACTGGCAAGGGGCGGAGAGGGGCCGGCTACAGGAACCTGCAGCGCACACACACCCTTTAAGAGACCAGCTCCCACCAAAAGCCCCAGCCTCTTGTCAGTGGGGAGGGGAGTGTCAACCACCCACCCCATGGGGACAACAGGTCTCCCTGTGCAACTCCTACTGAAGGACAAGCAGGAGGGGGCTGCCAGGGGCCCAGAGAGCCTACAAGTGGTCCCCCAGCAGCCACTCCTGTTCTCTCCTGTCTCTCACCCATGTCCCTCGCAATGGCAAGAAGCTCTTGCAGGTTCTTGGCAGGCACTGTCACAGACGCTGCCAGCCCCTCCATCCATTGCTGCCCCCTGGAAAAGGCTTCCCGCCACTCACAACGGATCTTTGGCCACTTGTGCTCAATTGCCATCCACATGGAGGAAAGGGTGGGCAGGATGAGTTGTGCCGGACGAGTTCCCCATATTTGGGACCTAGTAAGCAGCCAGAATTCCTCTCTCCTCTGGGGCACCAGCAGCCGCAACACCTGGCACAGGGGGGAAGGCAGGAGCATACAACCACGTTTCCAAAATCCTTTTTTATACAGAGACGAGGGCTCACTTCTCTTTACTAGAAGCTGTTTTCCTCTTTTTGGCTTGAAAGAGAATCGTCCTTGATCCACTCAATCTCTTAGCCTCCTTCCCAGTCCACAGTCCATGCTTAACTGTCTCTTCTTCAACCGTCAGTTCTCAGCCTTTATTCCTTAACTGACTCTGTCACCAGAATTCCATTTGAACAGCCTGTCACTCAAAGATTCTAAGGCTGTTAGTCTTTAACCCTTGATAGTCCGTCTCCCCCCCCCTTTAAAGCTATCAATGTTCATGGTCATCACTGTCAGTGAGTTCAGTTTGATTATTCATTGAGTAAATAAGTGTTTCCTTTTGTCAGCTCCAAACCTATGTCCCAACAACTTCATTGGGTGTCTCTAAGTTCTCATATTATGGGAGAGGGAGAAAAAGGTCCCTCTATCTACTTTCTCCATCCCATATGCAATTTTATAAAGCTCTGTCGTGGCTACTTTTAGCAGATCCCTGTCCTGATTTTTTTTTTAATATGAAGTAGCTGAAATCTGATCCCTGCTAAGATTATATACTCATTGCAAACGTTAACTGTAGTGTTGTATGTGGGAATGCCCTTGAAGATGTTTTAGAAACTGCTGTTACAGAATGTGGCTGCATGAGTCCTCCTGACTGGATGTACTAAACAAGCCAAAAACCCAATCTCGGTTGGGTTCTCACTGAACAGAACTGCATGTGTGGAGGTGCTGTTTTCACCAACCCTCAGCCAATCCACTGCAGTAGCCTTCCATCTCTCCCCTCGTGATGTTCCGGGGAGTACCCCTACTCCCAGGTGGAGCATTTCGAGGGGCATTTGGGATTGCAGCAGGAGAGTGGAGGTGAGAAAGTTGTACTCTATGGATGGAAGCTTTACTGCCTCCAGTATGTTTTTTGGTATGAACCCAGCCTTTGTTTCCAGGCTCAGCTGATTACCGGTATGTTGATTTTGACCTTTAAAGCCTTGGTTTGGGTCCAGGAACTGCCTCAGCCTTTCCAATTCCTGAGATCAGTGTATAGTACTTTCCTGTGGGAATCGGTTTGGCTAACGATGGACTGGCTTGAACCAACAGGATGGCTTTTTCAGCTGCTGTCACAAAAATTTACCTCCAATGAGGTGAGGTTAACACTCTCTTCATACGCCTTCCAGAGCAACTTGAAGACTCTTATTCCAGAAGGCCTTTGAATGCAGTTAATTGAATTGGGTGGTGTTTGATATGGTATTTTAGGTTTTACTATGAATTGATTTAACGCCTTCATGGCTGTTTTATGATATTTGGTTTATGTGGTCCATTTTAATTTTGGTTGGTTATATTTTAAATTGGATTTGTTAGCTGCCTTGACAACTCTTATGGGTAGAAAGGTCATTGTATAGGTATTTTAAATACATATGGTCCTAAAATTTAGAATTCTGCAGCTGCAATCCTACACACAGTTGGAAGAAAGTAAATGCCTTTGAAAATGGAATATCTCCTTCCAGTTACTCAGGAGAGGAGTGAAAAGTTCTGAATTCAAGCATATCCACTAAAGCTTTTAAAACTGTAAAATGTGTGGATAAATAAAATGCATAGCTGTTAGCATAAATAAAATTAGCTGCCCTGTTTCATTAGATATTCTTTTCATACATCTGATGTACAAACTGTTTGTTTGGTTAAAATGATATCAGAAATATTGTGTAACTTTCTCTCTTAGGAGCTTTCCCTTTTGGAACCCCTGTCACTCCAAGAATGACCCTGAATTCTAGCACAGGAGGAGGTGGAGTAATTCCTGCCATTCAGCTCTTAGGAATTGAAATGCTGCTTCACTTCTTTCTGGGGCCCGAAGTCGTGACTTTTGCCAAGGAAAACAAAGTTGTACTTAGTTTAGGTAATGCTATACTTTCTTTTTGGAGGCTTCTCCTAAATTAAATTATCAGAATATAAGTTTGCATTGCCTTTTTAGAAACTGCTGATGCACTGTCTTTTCAGATATATAGAATTTGTGGTCTCTGTTCCCACCTCTAGAACCTCTTCAGTATTCGGTGATCACTAGTCCTTCTTTCTTCTGTAAACATGCCAATACGTTTATAAATGCAATCCAGGATGATTTCATTGCAGTTGGAAAAGACGTTTCTGGTAAGATGTTTTTTGCAAAAAAATGTTCTATATTGTATGGTTTGTAAATAAGTTACATGTGCTATGACAGGGGTTGCTGTGTAGTAATCAAAGCATGTTTTCTCTGGTTCTGCCAAAGTTGGTTCCAACCCTACAACAAGCAGAGACCATAGCTGCCTTTCCTTCTAAAACCTCTTGTTGTCTCCTTTTTTTTAAAAAAACCTTTTGGATCAGAAGTCCCTAGGAAATTAAATGGAATGCAACACGGAGGGTGCAGTTAGAAAGGGGAATTGGTGAAAATCACACACTCCCATCTTGCATGACCCGCTCGAGTCTTCAGAATTGCCTTTCATGAGCTGCACTTTGCATATACTTTTCTGGATCCAGTTGAATGTGAATTAACATGCATCTAGTCTCTGTTTCTCTTCTGTTTTAAGTGACTTGTTTTTGTTCACTCTTTAATCTTACAGATATTGTTCTGAATGCTATCTGGAAAGGAATGATTGGTTTTGTGAGAGCTGCAGTTGAATCAGGTAATAAGACTTCTGTTTTGGTATTGCCGGTTGAAACGCTGTAAAAATGCTTTTTCACATTCCTGTCAATAGCTGTTGTGTAGTAATTTTGTGCAATGTATGTTAGAGGTAAACCAGAGCTTCACAATGTTGGGATTGCCGAGTCTTAGATTTTAAATGACTGCATGTAGGAGGATAAACATGACATAAATGTTGTTAAAATAATTACCTGCTCCTTGCAACCTACCCAGATCCCTGAATTGTTCTCTGCATAGTTTCTTACATTGTATACTTTTACAAAGTGGCTAAGGTGTAGCTGTGTTATTCTTTGGCATTCTTTCATTTTGTAACTAATTTTGGGACTCTTTAACTTCTCTTTCTTCTCTTGCGGTATGTACGGGCATACTCCTCCCCTTCCTTGAAAAGGCTATTAAAAGCTACTATAGGTTGGATCCACACTAAATTTTTCATTAGCAGAACTTTCCTTCTTCCTCCCTCCTAATGATCTCCACAAAATAATGCTTCTGGGTGACCCTCAGGAACAGCACAAGAGGGGGCTGCAGTGGGAAGAGGGAATTGGTAGAAACTGCCAGTTTAGACTGGATCCGGCCTCATGATTGCGATTTGGAAACTTGTGCTTTGGAGTATGTTCAGACAGCAGGGTCGTCCACTTGTTGGTGAGAGCCCAGCCCAGATCTCTGGATGATCTCACCAAGACCTCACCCCACAAAAAGCATGAGGGACAAGACTGAGCCAAGCAGCAGTCCCTTGGCATCACCTTCTGAAACCTGGAACCCATCACAAAGCAGTAGCTCCAGGTGTACCAAACCTGAAAGGTGGTCCAGAATGATGCCACGATCAGTGGCACTAAGAGGTCCAGGAGAATCAGCAGAGTTGCACTGCTCATCTCCTGGCACAGGAAATCCAGCAGGGCAACCAAGGCTGTTTCAGTCCGATAACCAGGTCTGAAACCAGGTCCAATCAATTCCACTTCAATCCAGATTCTTTGTGGCGTTGTCCAGCCATCACTTGTTCTGTCTTTTCATTTTCAAAGCTATATAAAAGGCTTGGTGAGAGGTTTCATACAGCTACAATGCAGTGTTACGTAATGTTTCTTTGTTGTAATAGCTTTGTATCACTTGTTTTTAGGCAGCAAGAAAGAGCGGCAAAGTTCAGAAGTACTCACAATGTTGTTGCAAGCATTAAAAACCATTGTCATGTCAAATGAGCTGCCTGTGTTAAAGTCACTAGTAAGTGTTATAGTCAAGCATATGTTATCAGCTCTTAAATTATTGTATGAGGATGTGTATGTACATAGATTTGAACCCAGAGAAGACCCCATTTAATATATTTCTGGGTCAGCATCACTGTAGCTTAATGCTGGACTAAATACATTAAACTGTTTCTAAACTGCATAGACGGCTAAATAGGCTGATCTGAAGTTTGTCAAGGTGGTGTGTGTGGTAATGCCTTTTTCCATGCTGGCGACAGCTGTTGTAAACAAATCTGGTTTTCTTGTATGTTGCTAACTGTAAATTAACATAAACACTTTCTCATACAATGGTGCATACATACCAGGTAATTCTTCTTTTCCATTTACCGTACATTAATTTTTATTAAAAAATTTTCTAGTCCCTGATGGAAATCACAATTAAAGAACTGCCTTCGAAAGTACTGGGATCACCAGCTTATCAGGTTGCTAACATGGATCTCCTGAATGTAAGTGGTTTTTTAAAAAGTCTTTCTCTTTATGTGAGCAGAAACGTAATTTTTTTCCGCCTAGCCATTAGAGTGTGTAAAATGTAATAGGATGGAGGACATGTGATGCCCTTAGGAATGCTAGAGAAGTGATGAAAAGTGAGAATCGTAGACACCAGCCCAAAGTATTTTTAGGGATGCAGGTCTTCACCTAAAACATAAAAAGTGAAGCCAGTGAAACTTGGACTTCATTTTCTGAACGCAGTATAAGGAGGAGTAGCATTTAAAGTTTTGTACAAAACTTCAGCTAACTGATCAAATAGAAGTTCTTTGCTCATCAGTACAAAGCATCTCCTTCATCATTCTGTCTATCCTAATGTGGGATACCAACATGTCCTGTGAACAGCTCTTAGGGAGATACCACACCCTGGTGAATATGGTATTCCAGCACTTGTGTTTGAGTGTGCATGTGGTACGATGTGCAATTCTGGATAGGGCCAACTCTTACCAAATGTGAAAGCATGGTTCAGTATCTCCATAAATTCTCCTGGCACACAGCTTAGTATACAAGGGTGTAGGAGAACATGGTTAGTTTCTATCCAGATACCTATTTGCAGTGCTTAGCAAAACTAAGGTCATCTTATTTGCTCTGTCTAGCTACTTATTTGAACAGCAACTTTCTTACAATGAATACTGAATATGTAATCAACTTGAAAGCTGTCTAGGGGAGGATAAGTAAGGTAGAATGTACAGCCATATATATTGTGAAATGTACATCAAACATGCAGGCTAATGAGGTTACCTTCTTCTTAACAGGGGACTCCAGCACTGTTCTTAATTCAGCTTTCTTTCCATAAAGATCTGTTGGAATGCTTTGTTCAAGATGAAAGGTAGATACTCCAGATTAAAGAGTTTCCATTCTCTTATTTGTTGTGACTGTTGACTGATGCAACTACTGAATCCATCTGGCTTTGACACCAGTTTCTAAGTGCCTTGTTTATTTTCTTGATCAGGTTTTTCCTGAACTATGAGTCTCTCGTGAGTTCTGTATTGTCTGGCCCTATATCTCCTCTGGCTTTTAGTGAGTCTGTATTCATTGTTGTTAATCAAAGTGCAACATACCTGGAAAACAAGGAACATCTTTGGAGAATATGGAGTATTGTAGTTAACCCCCTGACTGAATGGATCAACCAGGTACAGTGTTGAATTTCTGAACTCATTTGATCAGGTTAAATGTTTACATAAGGCAATACAATCCTTGACTGAATGTATATGTAACAAATAAAACTGAACACATTGTTGACAGCTTTTCACATTCACTAGCTTTATGAAAAAGGGCACTGGGTTGGAAACAGCAGAAAATTTTCACTTTTTCTTAGAGGTCTTGTGCAAGTGAAAACCAGTGTTCCCTCTAAGCTGAGTTAGTTTGAGCTAGCTCACAGTTTTTTAGCCTCCAGCTCATACATTTTTGTCTTAGCTCAGGAAGGAGGGCTCCAGAGCAAACTAATTTATGCAGTAGCCAAATTGCTCACTCACAACTTTAATGCCAGTAGCTCACAAAGTAGAATTTTTGCTTACAAGACTTCACAGCTTTGAGGGAGCATTTGTGGAAACACAAAAAAAGACCTCAATAGCCACCTGCTCTAAATCAGACTTATTGTATCCCTGCATGCATTTCCACTTGTGCAAGATATTGTGCACAATCAATTTCTGGCTACTATAATATATAAGGAGGGAAGTGCTAGGTGTTGCACAACATCATGTTTCTGTTTGTACATTGCTGGATCCAAGCCATTGTCTTGAATGATTTGTGCTTCTTTTTGATTATTAAACTGATTATTATTGGTTATTACTGCGGATTTCCAAAGATCAATTCATGCAGAAGCTGCAGAAACATAACACTGATAGGCATCACTTATGAAAATCGAGCATGTCTTTTATAAAGCTTCATTAAAATATTTAAGCCAGAATCGAAAAAAGTCATGTAGCCAGCTGTGACATACAGACCTCCAAAAGCAGGATACTTAATGTATCGAATTCAGAGAGCTAGGAGATTAGGGTTAATACCTCTCTTCACTGTGAAGCACAGGTTGGTTGATAGGCTGCTGCCTGAGTGCACCCCCTTTCACTCTGTTTGGTCAACACTGGCTGAAGAGAGCTTGTAAGAACAGCTGAGTGCTGAGGAAAAGGGTCTTTTTGCTTCATCTCTGGCCAGACAGAAAGAATTAGTGTGTGTCAGAGGGAAACAGACAAGTTCACTTCTGAAGTGAAGGGACACAACTCTTTGCCCTTACTGTGTGCTATCAAATCTGAGGAAAAGTTCCAAATAAGAACTTTAGTCTAAGCATCAGCCAAGCTAAAAACTGTTTCTTTCACTGGGTCAAGAACTGAGAGTCAGTTTTGGCAGCAGGGATTGGTCAGTAGGTTGAAGCTGCCAGTCTAGCCAAACAGGAAAAAGAAATATTGCATATAGGAAAAGGAGAATATTTCCTTCTCAGTTATTCAGTGGGTTCAGTTCTGAAGAGACCCCTGGATTGGGTGAAAAAGGAAAACAGTTTTAGACTCCTCTAGTCGCAGGGAAAGCTGTAATCCCACAGGGCGTACAGGAAGAAAGTACTAATCTCCAGGAAACTAAGATAGTTGTATGAATCTTTATTAAGACACATTGTTGCTGTTAAGAAATCTCCAAGACAAGCCTCTTACTGTTAAGAACTAGAGTCTCTAAGAAACTAAGCTTCAACAATACTTTGTAACCTGTTCAATATATCATTGTAAATATAACAAAATTTACCTCAGTTTTTTCATCCCTTGCCTAGTCCTAACCCAACTGTGCCTGTTTAATAAAATCATCATTCCTGTTTGAGCTTTACTTTGAGTCAAGTGCCATTTACAAAGGAAATAATGTGGGCTCCTGCTTATCTATAATAAATCTCTGGCCTGAACAAAAGCTAAATATTTTCTCTACCACAGGGTGGGACACTCAGAAAGTCATAAACCATTTATTACCACACGCTACCAAGGGGCTGCTCATACAGAGTGAAGAACAGTTATTTAGCATTTTGGCAGGAAAATCTGCCTCACAGAAAAGATGCAGCAGGGGTCCGTCACACTAGCACTATGCTCCTTGGTTGACTTGGACTTCTAGCATACCAGTGACCTTGTGCTGCATGAGGATTTTGAAAAGTGGTATTTGAGATTGCTGTATATACAGTTTATTGGAACTGTCTTTTTTATCCGAGCCTAAATTAAATGTTCAGCTTATTAAGGGAAGATCACCAACTAGTTACAGGAAAATTACTGACACATTGCATTTCTATTTTACTAGTACACTTGGCTATAGTTCATTGAACTTTGTATTGACTGATATAAACTCGTGTGTTGGCAGAGTAAAAAAATTGTTGCACTTGTCCTTTAAAAATAGGAATTAAGCTATAATGTGTTATCAATTACACAAAATTGAAATTTCATAATTTTGTTCCCAAATTCTCAGCTTTCCACTTTTTACTACTTTTTCCTTAGACAAATGAAGTAAATCAAGGTGATGCGTTAGAACACAACTTCAGTGCTATTTACAGTATGTTGTTGCTTCCTGTAAGTCACATTTTCCCAGCTTGTGAATTTCCACAGGTAAGGAACTGATGAAATGATTTCATTTTTTAACAGTATATATAGTGGTGATTATCATTTAGAAAAAGTCTTTTATGTATATGAACTTCTTTTGCTACAGCCCACAATGAAATCATTACTGCGTTCATGGTCAGAGCTCTATAAAGCATTTGCTCGTTGTGCATCTCTTGTGGCTACTGCAGAAGATAATCTATGCTGTGAAGAACTCTGTGCCAAAATAATATCTGAATTAGACAAAACACAAATTGTAAGTATAAACAAATATGAGATGGTGCTGTTGGCAACGTTTCTTCCCTTGCCTCATTCTTTCCTCACTGACTTAACAATTTTCTTTTTCTTCATTCCTTCCAGAATCGGTCCATGCTGGATGGTCTTTCACACATTACATCAATCATGGTTGATTGTATCAACTTTGCACCTTACGGTACTAAATCTCAGCCACCAAATAAATGTAAGAATAATTCCAAATGGTTCTAAGTTATAATTTGTTACTGATAGTGTGGAGAAGAACAGTTGCCTGTATTCTGTGATAAATTGCCATGGTAGTTTTACTAGCAGCTGTCACCCGGACTTTCAAAAGTTTGTTACTAAACACTAGTGCCTGAAACAGACTTTATCCTGGATAAGCATGATTTGGCCACAGTTATTCATACTCCAGCTGCACCTAAACTGAATAACTGTGATGCGCTCCTTCGAAAACTGTTAAGCCCTGCTATGTGTACCTCCCCCCCGCCCCTGTGATGATGGTGGAAAATGCCCTCAAATTGTAACCAACTTATGTCACCCATTGGGTTTTAAAGGCAAGAGATGTTCAGAGGTGGCTTGCCATTACCTGCATCTGTGTAGCAACTCTGGGCTTTGTTGTTGGTCTCCCATGTCAAAGCAAACCAGGGCCAACCCTGCTTAGCTTCCAAGATCTGACAAGATTAGGCTAGCTTAGGCCATCCGGGTCAGCCCTGCCCCACCAAGTGAGGGGAATGATAGCACCTTTTTTGCTGTAGCTCCCTCAGTACTCTGGAACTCTCTCCCCAGATATGCTTGGCACTTAATTTACTTGGTTTCAGTCACCTTTTTTTTTCTTCTCTCAGCTTTTTAGTTGATTTGTGTTGGGCTGCATGAATTTCTGCATTTGTGTTTTTTTCCTCTCCATGCCTCTCTAACTTGGTTTATTTTTTTTTCTCTGTTAGATGCTGGGGTTTATATATTTTAATTTTATGCTGTCAGCTGCTGATTATTTATTGTTTTAATGGTGGTAACTTCATTATTTACCTTAGACCTCATCTCGGGTTTTTTGTAGGACAGCTTTTTTAAAACACATATGATTACAAGCACTGAACCATAAGTCTGGGGTCTTCGGCAATTTTTGCTCAATATAGAAGTCTTACAACAGTATAAAAGTCTTACTGTCCTCATAACAAATTTGTTCTTTAGCCCCTCAGACACCTACAGATTGGTCAAAAAAGAAGAAAGATCCTCTTGGCAAGTTGTCTTCTTTAATCAGACTTGTGGCAGTACTAATAAGCTCTGCTCATATACTCTGGTCCAAGGAACCCAGTCCTGAAAAACTGGTCCCGGTTGCTGCTTCAGTTGTCAGCATTCTTCAAAATATCATCGGCCACATTTTTTTGTCTTCTGTCATCAGATCTGTATTTGAAATTATTACAAAGCCGCTAGCAGTATTTTATGAAAAAGCCAGGTAAGTGTATTGATAATACTGTCTAGATTTCAATATGACAAGTATACTGTTTATAGCAGGGGTGTCAAACTCATTTGTTATGAAAGCTGGATCTTACATAATTGGGACTTTGTCTGGTCAGGCCATTTTTGTCATAAAATGTAATATCAGATAGCAGAAATAAAAGGACACAGGCAAACACAATTAAAGATGCAGTGCAGCACTGGGCTGATGCCCCCGTACTGTCTGGGGGCAGTACCCTTTCCCCAGCCTGCTCTCATGGTGAGTACTCTGAGCCCAAGACCCAGGAAACAACATGAAGTGGCTGGGCATTGCAAGCTTCCCTTCCCCCAAGGTCTACTCAGAGTGGCAATGGCTCTCCAGGGTCTCAGAAGAAGAAGAGATTGGATTTATACCCCGCCCTTCAGTCGGAATCTCAGAGCGGCTTACAAACTCCTTTCCCTTCCCCCCCCAAAAAACCGACACCCTGTGAGGTAGGTGGGGCTGAGAGAGCTCTTCCAAGAACTGCTCTTTCAAGAACAACTCTGACAGAACTATGGCTTGCCCAAGGTCTTCCAGCAGCTGCAAGTGGAGGAGTGGGGAATCAAACCCGGTTCTCCCAGAGTAGAGTCTGTGCACTTAACCACTATACCAGACTGGCTCTCGGATTAAAGTCTTTCTCATAATGAGCCACAGCCTGGTCCTTTTAACTGGAGGTTAAGGAACACAAGAGAAAAGACTCCACTGGGAAGCACATTGTTTGCAACCAAGCCCCCTCCCCCTCAGCCAGCAAACTTCAGCAAATAAACAACTCTAGCAGACCCACGTGGGCACAGGAGAAGCCAGCAAAGATGAGGGAAGTTCGGCAACCCCACCCTCTGCTCTCTGCGCTCAGAGGCGGCTCAGAAGGGCGAGGAAAGGTGGGGGCAGGGGCAGGGGGAGAGAAGAGAGCTGTGGGCCAGTTCCAGCCCACTGACCGTATGTTTGACACCCCTGGTTTATAGTATCCTAGCTAGCCTATGGTTTTCAAGTATTTAAACAATAGCTACAGCCCAATGAATTTCCAGAGATACTTTAATAATACTTCATTTGGAATATCATCAGTTACTACAGTGTCTAAAGTTCAAGTGGGTAGCCATGTTAGTCTGTAGTAGTAGTAGTAGTAGTAGGATAAAATTTGAGTTCAGGTACAGATCAACAAAGTTTTCCATGGTATAAATTTCGTAAGTAAAGCTCAAATACCCAATGAAGTGATTTTTGACTCACAAGCTTGGTGGTGGGAAGTGCTGTCAAGCCACAGCTGACTTACAGCAGCTCTGCAGAGCTTTCAAGGCAAGAGACGTTCAGAGGTGGTTTGCCATTGCCTGCCTCTGCTTCACAACCCTGGTATTCCTTGGAGGTCTCTCATCCAAATACTGGCCAGGGCCAACCCTGCTTAGCTTCTGCGATCTGAAGAGATCAGGCTAGCTTGGACTATCCATGTCAGGGCTCACAAAAGTTTACATTCTGGAAAATTTTGTTGGTCTTTTAAGGTGCATGGTACTAAACTTGAATATTGTTCCACAGTGACTAAACTGGAGTATTATTTTAAAAAATGAACCATGAAATAATGCTCATCGCCTGAGATAATTGCTATTTGTAATTGTAATTGGAATCATTAAAATTGTTAGATGATGTAAAACTGTCGTGTGAAACAGCATTACTGTAATATTTTGTTGTAGCTCATTGCTCTGTATACTTTTAATTCCTTACAATGCGCTTCATAATAGGCTTCTTGCACTGCTGAGTCACTTGAAGCAAAAGTACAAGAGTTGAAGTCTGATCTTAACTGCTTCCTGAAGATTACTTCTAATAATATTGTGGTGTTTATCTTTTGGATGTGTCTGTATAGGATGCATGTATTAATAAATCAAATCAGAAAGGTATAGACATCCTATATATATAAACAAATAGTAAAGTTTCTAAATGAAGTATATGAAAATGTTAAACTGTTCCAGTAGTAATATAATTTCTTCCAGTAGTGACTTGTGTAAATTCTACAATGACAGTCCAGTGAAGGTTCCGGATATTGGTAACTTCATTTCGATATTCTTTCTCAAGAGGCAGTAACTATTACATGTTTCATAAACATCTGAGATATAGATGTATCAAAGGTTTCCTACACAAGGGGTATACAGTTCATATAAACGGGCAACCAGTCAAAATTTTCTTCTGGGAAACTACTCCAATGCATCAACAAGCTGGTATGGCCTCCTGAGAGTCTCTCGAGTTGCAAAGCATCAGCAATGCATTGCCGAGCTTCCTTGTGGGGAATATTGGTATAAAGTGATAAAGTGATGTTACGTCTATTGTAGCTAGTATAGTATTACTGGGCACTAGTAAGCCTTCAACTTTTGTGATAAAGTCTTTAGTTTCTCTTAAGTAGGTAGATATTTGAGGCAATATCAGCTGCATGATGCACTGGAGTAGTATCTCAGATGTCTATAAAACATGTAATAGTTTACTGTCTCTTGAGAAAGAATATCGAAACAAAGTTATCAATATCCAGAACCTTCGTTGGACTGTCATTGTAGAATTTACACGAGCCACTACTGGAAGAATTTATATTACTACTAGAAGATTTAATGTTTTCATATACTTTTAGTTAGGAGCTTTACAATTTGTTTATACATATAGGATGTCTGTACCTTTCTGATTTGTTTAATTAATACATTAGCAATTTGTTATTTCAGCATCTTTGTGCACAGCTCTTTCCTTGGTTTCTCCTGTTTGCTGTGTGATCTCCTTTGTGTATTGTATAGGCTGCATGGCATGTCTAAATAGCTAATCTGGTGTATGAAGCTAGTGGCTTTTTATATACATAGTTACTGTGCTTCCATGAAAGGAAGAAGACTCTGAATTGACCAGCTGAGCTTGCACAGGAGCCTTTGTGGGGTTTAGTGCTTCTTTGGGCTGCTGGTATTTGTGTGCTGTCCAGGGTGTTAATGTGTGGGTATGAGGTAGAGTCATTTTTGCTTTTCCCTTCACTCCCTCCTCCTGTGCCTGTAGCTTCCACAGGCTTTTACTTGCTTCTGCTGACCTGTGCTTTGTGGAGGAGAATATTCTTCACCTTCCCACCCACCTAGTCCAGGGAAGGCCTCTTCATACATGGGGCAACTGAGTTGCATGGGCTGCCGTCAGCTTCCTCCCCAGTTGACAGGCTGTGCTCTGTGCTTTCTCACGACCACAAAGGAAACAGTGCACCTGGCAGTGCTTGTAATCTGTAGGAACCAGCTCTTGCCTCTCTTTGCATGCTCTGTGGGTAACAGCTTCCCCCCCCAAAAAAAAAACGCTCACTGAATGAGTGCAGCTTTACATACCATTAAATGTTATGTGACTTGAAGACTACTTCCCCTCTTTTTAGAGCCTATTTTTAAAACAAATCTTATTTTCAAGTACATACAGTAATATGTAATTATATTTTGAGAAATGAGGGTTGCTGATTAGCCAAGTTACTGTTCTACCCTTTTAACAGGACTGTGCAATTTCTGCAAAATAAATTCCTGTTTTTTACTTTAGTTAGAAAACCAGAATGAATTCTTTTTATTCTTATGCTGTTGTCTTTTGTCACCAGGTTAGCCGATGGATCTAGAGTAAACAATACTCTCAGCAATAAGGTAATTAATTAATTTGTAATGGGAGGACTGCCATATCGCATCTCCAGTGCAATGAGTAGGGTTGGCCCTGGCTAATATTTGGATAGGTGACTTCCAAGAAATACTGGGAGTGTGACACAGAGGCAGGCAATGGCAAACCACCTCTGGACCGTCTCTTGCCTTAAAAGCAAGTCTGACTTGCCACCTAGTGGTGCATAACACTAAAAGAGCTAGAACTTCTGACTGCCAGACAATCTTAGGATCTTCGGGCTATACTACACACACTGACATACGATAATTAATTAATTAGTGCAATACACTGTATATATCATGTCATAAAGGCTAGCTTGCTTAGTAATTCTGTAATAAGGGCTACACTAGCGTGTCCCATTTAAGCTACTTTGTCAGGCTAGCTCAAACACCAGGGTTCTTGAATATTGCATGAAAAACCCCGTGCAGATCTGAGGAACTGCCTCATCCTCCAACACAGAGGGGAAAGACACTGGAGGAAGCTTGTGGGCTGTAGTATAGCTTTGCTTTGTGGTAGGCAGTCTAATCCAGCCTTCATTGACCTCCTCTGAGGAACTCAACAAGCCCCAATTAGTACTACCTGTATTGGCCATTTAGGCAAGAGACTATTGCTGAATGGTCTCCTCTTGACTACTTCCAGCTGCTTGTGTTGCCTACAGCTATATATATATATATATTTAATTAACATTTCTCTGCTCATCTTGCAGTTTGAAAAATTATGGGTGGAAATCATTAGCTGTTTGCAGTCCCACTATACTGGACCTTTTGAGAGTCAACTGCTGCAGGAGCTTTCTCCACTGCTGTGTATAATGTTCACAAATAAAAACAAGCAGATACGCAGTCAAGCTGCTCAGTTCTGGAATGCAACATTTGGCAAAGCAACGACGCTGGTGTATCCAGAAGAATTAAAGTAAGAGGACTTTGAATAATAGGTCTCTTTGTTAATGTGTGGAGTACCGGTTCAGTAGAACTACATGAGGATAATCTTAATGTCTTCTCCAAAATTTCAGGTTTGGTTTAATGTTCTACACTGAGAACTAGGAAAGAACTTTAACTTTTGGATGGCACAGTGTGAAACACTAGGCTGCAGATCTAGTATACACTGTACTTGTACTCACAGTTCTTGCACACATCACTGTTCATGTAGCCACAGTTCTTATACTTACAAGATTTCTTATCAAAACAAGCTAAATACTTTTGATTCTCTGAATATCAGTTTGTGTCCTGCATTTTCAGTGCTGCAGTTTTCATGAATGTTTCCTTACAGATCCATTTTGTGCCAAACCAAACAGAAAATTCTGCTCTTATTGCCTGGCTTTGAAAGTACTGAAATAATGGGAGAATCTAATGGGACATATTCTGACTCCGTAAGTCTCTCTTATATTAAGATTTAGAAAGTCAGCTGTCGATCTTTAGCAGTGTGAAGCTGGAACTTGTGAAGCTTAATAACACATCTCTTGAGCTGAATAAATAACCTGAGTGCACAATTATACAATTTTTACTTCAGATACCCCCTTTTGAAAGTTGACTGCAAATAGCCTATCTCTGAAGAAACCTTGTTGAAAGTCTGTATCGGTGGCACTAAGAGTTCAAGTGTTTTACTGGTATTTAAATGTTCTTCCCTCCACTTTTACAGCAGACAGAGAATTCTCAATGGAATACAAAGATAAGTGGAATAGAAGTAAACTCTAGTGGGAAAAGAGATTCCTTACTAGCACAGTCCAGTGAACGAAAAGAAGAAAATACTAATTGCCATGTCCCACCTGCAAAAGTAAGGCATAGAGACTATATTATATCACTACTTACTTCTCTTGGAATTTTCCTGTTCTAACCACCATGGGTTTTCTCCTCATTTAAAGAGGCTTAAGTAATGGGGAGTCCCCTATACAAGGAGGGCTAACTAAAATTGTGGTTGAGTTCACAGCTGACTTTTTTTGGGAAGTTAAATCCTTTCTTTCTCTCAAGGGCAAGGCTAGTCTCCAACTGTGAATTTTTAAAATTAACTTCTCAAAAAACTCTGAAACATAATAAAAGTTGATTGCATAAGCCTGTTGTACAGTTAAAGGCTTTTTCCTAGTGTGTTGTCCAAGTTTGTGGCAGTTCCTCCAGCCTTCTTTTTTACTTTCTTATGCAATAGACAAAACTGGAATTTTCACTGCCAAAAACAAATAGAAAAGATGTGATTTTGGAAGAGGAAAATACTGTTGACTTTGTGTTTATTCCACCGGAAACAAAAGAGAGGGTGTTGACAGAGCACCAAAAAGAAGTTCTTCAAACAAAAAGGTAACCTTCTTGTACATCTTTTGGCTTTTATAGTGGGGATCAGAGTCCACTTAGTGGTTTGTTTGTTTTTTGTAATGGGCTTGAAGTTTCAATCCTTGAAACACAAGGGCCAGCCTTTTATTAAAGAGGCTTTTTTGTGACTGTGTAGACATATACTCCTAATTTCTCTACATGCATTAGACTGTAACCGAGAACCCAGTCTCCCGGCCCTTCTCAGTTGAATTTGCCCCTCTTAGCCACAGAACAAGCCTCTAATCTCCTAGAACAAAGATTTTGTATACTTTGTGGCCCTTCCTACAGTGTTTGTAAGCCGCTCTGAGACACCTTTAGGTAGTGAAGGGCGGGGTATAAATCCAATCTCTTCTTCTCTTCAGTGTGGTGGAACATGATTGCCTAAAAGTCTTTACTGCTCCACCTCCGTTGGTGGTAAAGAGTATCTTGGTGTGGGTTGCTTCTCCAGTTTGCTTACAGTATAAATTGGGCAGAGTCTTACTGTGGGAAGAAGTCTCTCCCATTTCAGATCTTGCCTGATCCATGGCAACAGGACATCTTGGAGCTCTGCTTTCCATCACTTACTAGCTACATTTTCGTCTTTCCTATTCTTTGCTTAACCTCACCATATTTTGAAATCTGTTTGAAATCTGACTGGTTTGTTGGCTAGTTCCTCTTATTATTTATTTTGCAGAGTTGATATTCCTACGATGTACAATAATCTGGACGCTTCACAAGATACTGCCTTATTTTCCCAGTATACACAAGACCAGGAAGCTTCTTTGTAAGTCAGAGATGCCAGCAGAGCTTTGAAATGTAAACTTTTAAACAATTTTAACTTTTGTCTGAAATGAGTTGCCTTCTTTTTAGGGTAAAACCCACCTTGGTAGATACGAAGGAAGAAGATGGGGAAGAAGAGGGCAAAGAGATATCCCAGGTATCTTCCTGTGTTCTTCTTACCTTGGGGATTGGTAGAGAAACTCAGGAGTGTGATTATCTTATTGGAGAATTTATGGGAAAGGGAATGTGAAATCTTTTGCTAAGGTGAGGCACATATGTTGACAGTTGGTTCATGTGCTATCTCGTATAAAGCATGCCTGTTAACATTTAAGAACTGATGAAGTTCACTGGCTGTTCTGGCCAGCTGCAGCTGAGTAAAGGTAGGATCCAGCTTGCTTCCTTAGGGACGGTAGTAGAGTGTGTCTGTTGCCACTGCCAATTGATATTTGAGGGAATTGTTTAAAATTGGAACAAGCCCCTGGTTTATGGAGCTGTAGATATTTACAGCAAAAGGGTTTCGTTTTGGAACACTTGTTTTCCAGAACGTCGCCAGGACAAAATATAAGGAACTGTAATTAACAATGAGGAGTGTTCTAATATATTTGAAGAAGCTTTTATCGTGGCAGAGTTTCTTTTTCTCCCTAAAATTAATGTTGCTTTTGTGGGATTCTGTTATGATGGGCCAAGGCTAGTCCGAAGAAAACTGCTGCAGCGGAGTTTTGGTGTTGGTGTAGTGGTTAACGTGCTGGGAGACCCAGGGTTGAATCCACCCTTTGCCATGGAAGCTGTCTGGGTGAACTTGAGCCAGTCACACCCTCTCGGCCGCACCTTCCAGGCAGGGTTGTTACGTGCTGCCCTGAGTTCCTTAGAGAGGAAGGGCAGAATAAAAATGCACTAAATAAATTAAAAAAGGCACGTTCCTTAAGTTAAACAGGTTTTGGTCTTGGGTCTCATCAGTGTCTATATGGGAGGCTACCTGGTAATGCGCTCTTGAACTTCCTGCAGAAAATGTGAATATTAAATATGATTATAAAAGTAGTACAGTCACTACAATAGCTAATGCAAATTATTTTGACTGCAGGCTAAAAAAGTGGGAAACATTCTGCTTGGCGCTGAAAACTGCAAGCCAAATGGACTTCAGGAGAAAACGGAATCTACAGCTATTGGACAGTTTCAACCACCTGCAAAGCATAGTCCAGATCTAAATTGTGAGGATTCAGAATCGTGTACTTCTAAAACAGTTCCAGAGGAGCCGTCAGTATTAGATCAGTCTGTCAATGAAAGCAGCTCAAGTGTCAGCAGCAGCTCCTCTTCTAGTGATGTCATTTCAGGAACACCACAGCCTGTAAGCAGAAGGCAGTCCTTCATAACTTTGGAGAAGTTTGATAGTTCAGAGAACAGACCTTTCAGCCCTTCAAAATTCAACCATGTGTCTAGACCATCTCAAAGTACCCCTTCATTAGATGGTCAGGAAAACATGATTGGCACAGATACACTGTCTTTCAAAGAAAAGTCCAGTAAGAGTGCTTCCAAACCCCAAATGGAAGAGACTGTCTCTAGTTCTAAGAGGTCATGTCCAGAAAGCATAGATGCTTTGGAGTCTTCCCCTAAAGCCAAAAAAGCAAAGGAAGAATCTAAGCCTGCTTCAAAACTGCAATCTGAGAGTGCTCTTGGGATACAGAAATCAAGTCTCAGGCAGAACAAAATAGAGCTTTCAGAGGACAAAAAAGCAAAGCTAATGGCATTGGAGCAAGAGAAAAACATGCAAGTATCCACTTCCAAAGATGAGGTAGGGGAATGTGACTTACTTGGGGAAACACAAGAGCCACAGTGTATGTTAGATGTTCAGTCTCAAGCTTCTGATGTGGAAATAATCGAAAGTACAACCATGGAAAAAAAACATGTTTTGAACAATGTTGCAGAGATGAAAGCAGGACTGAACCTGGATTCAAAAGAGAATACTCCTCCAGAGGTGACTGTTCTGGGAGATGCAATATCTGTAGGTCAAACTCCACAAATACCACCTAATCAAAAAATATTAAGGCGTTCTTTAAGACGAAAGCCAGAAACTACTGAAGGATCTGCAGACAGTCAAGACAAAGAGAACAGCCAACAGAAGAAGGACAGGCGTAAAGATGATGAAAAGCTTCTGCCAAAGAAGTCTTTGCAAAGTAAAGAGGACTCCACACACAAACAGAAATCTCTTCCTGAAAAGAACCCAGATATACAAGGAAGTGTAAATAAAAAAGAAAGCCATGCAGAAAAGCTCTGTATGGAGCCTTGCACAACAAGCATGCCTCAGAGTGTTACTGGGGATCCTGCTGGCCTGGAAAATTCAAGCAGTGCCATGGAAGTTATAGGTACAAAGGAATCTCATGCTTCAAAAAACCTTCCAGAGGAAACTAACATAAGTACTAGAAAATCTGAAGGCAGTAATCCACCTGAAACGGATGACTTGCAAGATCCCTGTGCAGATACCACCCATGAGAAACGAATAGGGCTTCCACGGTATCAGACAAGAAGAGCTTCCCAAGGGCTGCTTTCCAGTATAGAAAACTCTGAGTCTGACAGCTCTGAGATGAGAGAAGATGGAACCAAGAAGAAAAGGTCAGGAAGATGGAAAGTCACAAGCAGTTCTCTTGAAAGCCAAGTGAAGGAAGAGTTAGAAAGCCAAAGCCAGGAGCTTCATTCACAAGAAACTGCAAATGAACTCCAAACCTCTTTAGTGGGAAATAAAGGTATAATAAACCATGAGGAGTGCATGGAAATAGCTTTGCCTTCTGATAATAATGAAGAGAAAGAGAAGAATGTTCCTTCACCTAATGACCATTTGGAAGGTAAAGAAACCGTGGATGCTTCCATTTGTGGTGGCCATTCAGATGCAGAACAAACTGTTGGAAAAGTGGCGGCAAAGCCAACTTTGGCGTCAGCTTCAAAGACAAAGCAGATAACCAAAGGTCTTGATCAACAAGATGCTGTTCCACACGGCAGCAAAAGTGGTCTTACCGAGCTTTCAGGAGATGCCTGCCCTGCTGTTCCTAATGGCTTTTCTGCATCCATAAATCGTTCAGAAACACCTGAATGCCTGCACAAAAGAAGCAAGCGGATGAGAAGATCAAAGGGCTGCGATTGCTGTGGTGAAAAGCCAACTGCACAGTTGGAAAAGTCGCCCACAGTAGTGAAAAAAGCAAGTAGTCCAGAACCAAAGTCAAAAGAACCTAAGAAGACATCTAGTAAAGCAGCAGTGGTGGCTTCATACCTTCCTGCTGCAGAGGAGTCCCATTCTGCAGAAAAGCTCAGTATGGAGCCTTGCGCAACAAGCACGCCTCGGAGTTTCACTGGGGATCCTGCTGACACGGAAAATTTAAGCAGAAGCATAGAGGCTACAGGGGAATTGCCAGGCAGTTACACTTCAAAAGACGAGTCCAAGGAGTCATCAGACTCAAAAAGCAACAGTTTCAAATCTTGTGTGGAAACTGTAGATTGTGTTGATGCGTCTGGAGAAACTTCAGAGCTGAGTTCAATCGAATCCACTTCAAAGGAATTAATTGCCCCGTGTCAAGGTTCAGAAAGCAAACTAGAGCCTGTTGTTACAATAGGGGGAGCTGTTCATCACAGTGGCCACCTAGAAGACAGAAGTCATACGGAGGTGGATGTGAACCAAGCTGAGAAAACAAAGTCCAGTGAACCAATAACTGATGTTGTTCAGGATGGTGTGGAGAAGACTCTGGAATGTTCTGTTGGCTCTCCTGTAGAAGCTCAAGATACTGATATGGATGAGGAGGAGAGCATAGAAACCAATGTACCAGTAGCACTGACAGGGCCTGAAACTTCAGGCTTGATACAAGATGAAGTAAAAGAAAATAACAACATAGATTCCCCTCTTAAGTTGAAGGAATTTGATGCTTTGACTTTGACCAAGATTAGTGAAAGCCCTAATGGAGTGCAATCACGTTGTATGTGGTCTCCATCAGCTTCCCCCTCTACCAGTATTTTAAAGAGAGGTGTAAAAAGACATGAGGAAGAGGATTCGTCATCACCTGCAAACAAGGTATTTTAGCAGTTGTTTTTATAGTTTATCATAACATGTTCATAGTTATTCATATTTTAACTGTGTTTTATACTCACAGGACTGCAGCTTGCCTGATCTGGTCTTTCTATCCACTTTTTGCTTGCTGCTTTAACATTTTAAAAATCTTGGGGGGGGGGAAGCTTCTTGTTAGTTTATGTGAGTGACCTGTTTACATGAACAATGTACTGAAATACCTAGAAGCTCAGATCACATCGACAGTAATTTCCATAATCCCAATATTATATACTGAAGCACCGAGAACTGTAATTTGAAGGAGTTTAAATTTCCAAGTGTGTAAATGTCTCTCATGCTTTTCAATGTTATGTGCATTTAACTTCTGGTGACTTCATTGGGGCTTAAATGTGAATAACTATCCATTGGATTCTAGCCATTGTTAATGACTATCTCACTTATATGAGAGGGGGCAGAAGTTGAAGGTCTTCCAAGCTACACTTGAAGATGGTCCAGAAACCTCAGTTGGTACAGGACATAGTGCAGTATCTATCTCTTCATTGGTTATTTAAGGTACTAAGTGCAGTTCAGGGTGCTCATGTTTTTCATGACTTGGGGCTTTCATACTTAAACAACTGTCTAATCCAGCTGGGGTTGGACTAGATGGCCTTGGAGATCCCTTCTAACTCTAAGATTCTCTGATTCCCAGTGTCAAATAGTATGCCAGGATCTATCTTCCCATATACTTATGTGTTTTAATGTATTCCTACCCCTTTGCCGAAGTATGCTCGCTATGTCACTGTGACGACCTCTTATCTGGGGAGGTCTAGTTTTACTTTAAAATGTTCTTTATGTTTTATTCTTAGGGTTTTCGGGCTGCCACCAGGGAAATCTAGGTTTTCCCAAACCTTTTCCTATAATATTTTCCACAGGGTAGGTGTACCTTGGGTCTTAGGCATTCGTGGTACTATGTGGTCCCAGGAATAATTCTTTACTTAGCTGGTAAACTTGAAGTAAATAGGATTTATTTAACGAAGGTATAAACACGAGGGTGAACAAGGTAAACAGTTCTGGGAATGATTTGATCATATGCTTGGTGTCTCTCACAAGCCTCTCCTTTACTGACAGAGAGGATAAAGCCACTTTGTAACAATATTTCACGGTATTTTTCTTAGAGACTCTCAGCTTTCAATTGTAACTCATATCACAGAGACTTTACTCTTGTATTTCACATAGGAAACGTCTCACACAGAGACCTCAGGACAACTCTCATATATATTGCTCCTACACAGCACACTCTCCTCTGACTCTCTCTGGTTAACTGTTTAACTCCGAACTAAGCAACCCACACAGGGAAGCCTCTTCTTATCTGTTTAACTGTTTTTTCTCAACTCCCTAACTCAGAACTCTCTAACTGTCATCCTTAACTGTTACTCTTGACTGACATATCGGTTCATCCACACAGCATTCATTCCAAAACCCCTCCCCCTCTCTGTCACTCACCAATCATATCACTTGCCTGAGTTCAGCATCCTAGTCTGCCATACATCCATACAAACCACTTTTAAAGACACACACACAATAAAACATGGAATCGTTACAGTCACCTTTTGAGAACCATTTCTAATATCTGTCATACAGTTTCAAATATGATGATGAGTTCTTTCAGTCTGTGAACACTTCCACATGGTCATGACTACCATTTTGGTCACATTGCCACTGTAAATCTATAGGAATTCACAGCAGCAGTGGAGCCTCCTCACAGGATAATTCCCCATTCTTTTCCCTCATGCCTGCCATTTCTCAGCTCCTGGCCTTCATGAACACTGGCAGGCTTTCTGTTGGTCATTTTAAATAAGTAGTGGATGTACACAGTATATAACAATATACCTTCTGCTAATTTAAAAAAACAAAACCCTGGTGTCAAGGGTGTGTGTGAAAATTCCCCCATCTTCTCCATACTTCCCCTCCAACCCATTTTGCGTGTGATCTTCTAGGAAGGATCATACCTATGTAGGGCTGGGGAAACTCACAGTAGAACTAAGGAAAACCTGGAAAGGGAATGATGATGTCATGTGGAAGCCCCAAAGCACTGCTGAGGAAGTTAAACTTCCGTGTGGAAGCAACCTAGGCATCTGTGTCTTTTATGGAAACTATAGAGAACTATTTGATTCAGCATAAATTTTAATACCTTTGCATAAAATGTTCTTCTCTTAGCCCCTTAAAACAAGCACTTTGACTTCTGTATCTTTATTTTAAGAGGCATCATGGAGGCAAGTTAATATTTCTAGATCTGTGGACCTTTAATTCTCAGTACTATTATTAAGGCAGTATCAAGCTTTATAAAATAATCAAGGATTGCATTGTAAAACTGGACTATAATAGTATGTTTTCATGCCTGACGAGTTTGTTCTCCTGTTGCAATAGGACTACCTTTTCAGCATAAAATACCAGAATACTTATACACATTGATGGTCCCCAAGTTACAATGAGCCTTTGTGATGGACGTTTTACCATCAGCGGTGCTAACTTGACGTTATTCAAGGATTCCCTATTCTGAAAGAATTTGTTCATTTCCTGCGGGAAGAATTGAGACCATATAGCACATAATTGTATTTGACTGCCCATGGAGAGCTGAACTATGAAAAAGTTTCTTTTGCCTTTATTTTCTCTAATAATTCTGGAGTCTACTATGACAATAGAATCTAAGATTAGTTGGGCTGTTTCAGATTCTGATTGCAATGTTACCTTCTGTTTGGCGAAAAAAATTGCAACCCTATATTGAGTGATCTTCTGTTGTAGTCCATGTGGCTTTTAACAGTCTAATTAAAGTAAAGGCAATTCATCATATTAAGGGAAGGACGCGGAGACTGCGAATGGCTTGGCGTCCTTCCAGCCTATGGCTCATCCCAAGGGTGGCAGTGGGGCCAGGATTGATAACCCCCCTTCGTCATTGGTGTTGTGCAACGCCAGGTCCATTAACAACAAAACCACAACCCTTCAGGATTTTGTGTTGGAACATCAGGCGGACATGGCGTGCGTGGCCGAGACCTGGGTGAGGGAGGGTGAGACAGTAGCTCTCATCCAGCTTGCCCCCCGGGTTATTCGGTCCTTCACTAATCACGGACTAGGGGGCGGGGGGGGGGGAAGAGTGGCTATTTTCATTCGGGAGGTTTACTCCTTCAGGGTGCTCCCAGCCATGAAGATCGCGGGCTTAGAGTGTGTCGGCGTGATGTTGGAGGCTGTGGAGAGTGTGGCGATCTGGCTGGTGTACCGGCCGCCTAATGCACCGGCCAGTAGCCTGCTGTCCCTGCTGGAGGCCATATCAGGCTGGGCGTTGGACCACCCTAGACTGATTGTCCTGGGTGATTTCAACGTCCATGCCGAGGACGCGACCTCGAGCTGGGCTACGGACCTCGTGTCATCCATGGCGGCGCTGGGACTCTCACAGTTTGTATCGGCCCCCACACATCGGGATGGTCACATGCTCGATTTGATCTTTACGGCGAGGGTGGCGGAGGATTGGATTTCTGCTGAGGCAGTGCCATGGTCTGACCACCTGGCTCTGAAGGCCCATCTGAATGTTCCACCCCGACCTGTTGTAGGCGGTGAGCAAATTTATGCTCGCCCGCAAAGCCAGACGGACCCGTTGCGGTTTCAGAGGGCTCTGTGGGATCCGAGGCCCCCAGGTGGCTCGTTGGATGAGCTGCTGGAGGACTGGCAAGCCCGGCTCTCCGCAGCCATCGACGAGATCGCTCCCAGGTGTCCTCTCCAGACTTGTCTGAGGCGGGCTCCTTGGTATACCCAGGAGCTGTGGCTGATGAAGGGAGAACTGAGGCAACTAGCGAGACGGTGGCGTTGTGCTCGCGACGAGGCGTCAAGATCATCCTATAGGACGTTTATGAGATCCTATGAGATGGCAGCCAAGGCTGCTAAGAAGGATTTCTTTGCAGCTGAGATTGCATCTGCGAGCTCACGCCCGGCCCAATTATTTAGTACGATTTGGTCTTTGACAGACCTGCCACAGGGCAGGCGAAATGATAGGTAAATGGATATTGGCTGTGAGGCTTTTGCGAGCTGTTTGGCAGATAAAGTCCTGACGCTCCGCGGTGACCTCCCCGCCACGATTGAGACAGTGAGTGAACTTGAGGCCCCTTGCGAGTCTTCGGTACCGGGTTTAGAGTGCTTCAGTTCACTCAGCCTGGACGAAGCTGACAGATTGCTCGTTTCTGTGCGCCCAACCACATGCGACCTTGATCTGTGCCCCTCCTGGCTCATTAAGGCGGGTCATGAGGGGTTTTGAGGTGCTCTGCGGGAGATTGTCAACAAGTCCCTTATTGAGGGACGATTCCCTGGAGAACTCAAGGAGGCGATAGTCCGCCCTCTTAAAAAAGCCATCTCTGGAACCGGCCAATTTGGCCAACTATCGGCCAGTGTCCAACTTGCCCTATTTGGGCAAATTGATAGAGAGGGCGGTGACGACACAGTTACAGGGCTTTCTGGATGACGCTTCAGTCCTTGATCCTTTCCAGTCCGGCTTTCGCCCGGCTCACGGGACGGAGACTGTTCTGGTTGCCTTGACAGATGATCTCCGAAGGCATCTGGATCAAGGTGGTGTGGTGGCATTGCTGCTGTTAGATCTGTCGGCCGCATTTGATACAGTCGACCATCAGCTGCTGACCCACCACCTTGCCGACGTGGGGATTCAGGGGCTTGCCCCTCAATGGTTTGCCTCTTTTCTCCAAGGTCGGGGACAGAGGGTGGCCATTGGGGATCAGCACTCCCGGAGGCATCCTCTTGAGTGTGGGGTGCCTCAGGGGGCAGTGCTGTCCCCAATACTATTTAACATCTATATGCACCCCCTCGCCCAGATTGCTCGGAGTTACGGGCTAGGGTGCCATCAATCCGCGGATGACACCCAGCTCTATGTAATGTTGGGCGGCCGGTCAGATTCTGACCCGGATGACCTTCACTGGGCATTGCATGCTGTGGCTGGTTGGCTCAGGCTGAGTCGGCTGAAGCTAAACCCGGCGAAGACAGAAGTCTTGGGCTTAAGTCGGGTCGGTTCAGGGCTGGGGCTCCCTCTCCCGGCCTTTGACGGGGTGCCTTTGGTGCCGGCACCAAGGGTTAGGAGTTTGGGGGTGCTCCTGGACTCCTCCTTAACGATGGAGGCCCAGGTAGCAGCCACTGTCAAGTCAGCCTTTTACCATCTGCGGCTGGCACAGCAGTTGGCTCCCTACCTTGACCGCGATGACTTGTCCACAGTGATCCACGCAACGGTCACCTCGAGGTTGGACTACTGCAATGCTCTCTACATGGGGCTGTCTTTGTCACAGATCCGGAAGCTGCAGCTGGTGCAGAATGCAGCAGCCAGGCTGTTGATGGGCCTCTCTAGGCGAGACCACATCCAGCCTGTTCTGAAGGCGCTGCACTGGCTGCCAATAGCATACCAGGTCCACTTCAAAGTGCTGGTTCTTACCTATAAAGCCCTATATGGCCAGGGTCCAGCTTACCTAAGGGACTGCCTTTCCCCATATGTTCCCCCAAGGGCAATACGATCGGGGGCAAAACATCTGGCTGTCCCAGCCCCTAGAGATGTTAAATATGCTGCAGCTAGGGCCAGGGCTTCTTCGGTGGCGGCTCCTATCGGGTGGAACAAGCTCCCGGAGGAGCTCAGGGCCCTACGGGACCTTATGCAGTTCTGCAGGGCCTGCAAGCCGGAGCTCTTCCCCCAGGCTTTTGACCTCCACCGCGCTGCCATTTTTGGCAATGCGAACTGGCCTTGGGAATGAAGAACGCACATCGTGCAGACCGATCAAGAAGAGACAGTAGAACCTCTGGAACATTGCATTGGAGTCTCCGTCTTGGATGATATATTGTTGTGAGCACCGATTTTAAATGTAAATGTAATTGATTGTTTTATCTGGTTTTAGTGTTGTGTATGGCAGTTGCCTCTTGTTCGCCGCCCTGAGCCCATGTGGAAGGGCGGGATATAAGTCAAATAAATAAATCTGTTTCTTTTCTGGGCAGAGCCGGCGAGTTTCCTTTGCCAATCCAATCTATCAGGAAGAATTGGCAGATGATATTGATAGGCGAAGCCCTGCCGTTAGAAATCATTCTTCAAATGGGTCTCCGTCTTCCCGAAGCATTAAACCTTCTTCTAATCATCAAACCAAGGTAATACCAATGACTCTCTTTATTCAAAGGAGTTTTCCAGAAGAAATACTCTCTCCATGGTTCAAGAACTTTGTGTCTGATTAACTGGAGGAAGGGAAGTTCTTCAGTCATGAGCAAGTGCTAAGGCTTAGAATTAAAGATCTTCAAGTGTCAGCAGAAGGCATTTTTGTGGATACCCCCTCTCTTTCCCAGAAATCCCAGTGTCCTCCAAAAAATTCCTATGCTAAGTGCAGGTGTTCCAGAATGATGTGTGATACAGCACAGAGAGGGGCCCAAAGAGGAAGAAGGATCAACTGTATGTGTACAGAAGTGCTTTTAGTTGAGTATATAACAATCTTTGGTTCCAAGTATATAGGCTTAATCCAAAAAACTCATGGAGGTAAATTCATACAGCTATATGCAGTTTGTAAAAAAAACATAGTTTGCTGAGCTAGTTCATAACAAGAGATACTTGCTGCTTCTACCGGGCGTGAGCCCGATTCTGTTTTAAACTCTTAGGCATTGCCCTGTTTCTAAATTAGCAGACCTCTCTTTAGTTGTAGGATTTCAGTAAGATTAATCATAGGCTTTTAGCTTATTCCTATGATCCTGAGAGACCTTTTTTTCCTCTTTTCCTATCCAGCCTATTACCACTCCAACCAAAGGACCCCTCTCCCCCGGATCTCGTAGCCATAAATATAAGAGCTCAAAGAAGTGTTTAGTAAGATTTGTTTCAGTTTTATGTATTCTCTATTTTTTCCTTTATTCAGCTCTTAAAACTTAATCAAATTTAATAATTTTCTCTGTTGTTCAAGATCAGTGAAATGGTCAAAGAAACTCTACCGTCTCCTACAGAAAGCATATATCCAGCGCTGCAGGGTTGTAAGGCACCTGTTGACACCATTTTGCCTCAGATTACATCAAATATTTGGTGAGTAGCAAGCACCAGGTTTGATTCACAAATGTTTATGGCTAATATTGTGTTGCCATTTCTTCTCATGGTGCTCACAGCATACTTATTCACAGGAAGGTTATACTCTTGAGCCACAAAAAGAACTAGTACCAGATGATGTCTTCTGTTGCGGAACACTTACAGAAGAAGAAAAAACCCACCAGAGTTTTCTTGGTGTATTATCTAGATGGAATTTTGAGTCTAGCCTTGCAGTTTTCATAAGAGGATGGAAAGTAGACTGTTGGTACATTCTCCTTCAGTGGGGGAAGACATCCAGATTGGCTAGGGGCAGGGTTCAGTTGGAGCAGGAGCGCACAGGAGCGGCGCTCTGCCAGTTAACAAGTTGACTCTCTAAGTCCAGTCTTTTGGCTGAGAAGTTTTTCCGGAGAACTTCTGTTTGGTGATAGGGACCTAGAAAAAGTTATTTTAGAGACCAAAGAGAATAGGAAGGCCATGCCATCAACGTCAAGGATAAGGATGGTAGAGTGACATAATTTCATTCCTTTACTAAGTAAAGGGCACCAATGCGAGGCAGGGAGAACAAGGGTTTCAGAGGCTCCTGCTCTTCAGGATACTGATCCAGATTCCAGCAAAGTTCATCAGGGCAAGAGATGCCAACACAGCAAACAAGGACACCAGGACCACCATGGAGGTGTTTGCAGTACATGGTTCCTGATAAACATTCAGAAAAGTCAGATCACTGAATCCAGATGCTTAGTTGATCTTGGGGCCAGAATTCACATGGAGTCGGCTATGATGTTCCTACCAAGGGGAAAAAACAAAAGAGGATTACACAAATAGTAAAAAAGGGTCCAGAAATAGAGATTGATCAACTTCATGCATTTATCTATTGTCCTAGGCGTGATTATTTCTCTAATAGATTTAGTTTCAGGTTCCATTCCAGACAGATGCAGTGGAAGTTGCTTCCTTACCAGAAAGATATAAAGAAGAAAGACACACAAACAGGTCACCTTGGCAGGAAGTTAAAAGTATCCCTGGGGTGGTGGACTACTCCAGTGAATCTAAAGAAGGGTGTGACCTTCCTACTACAGTCCCACCTGACAGTAACGACCAATGCCAGCACAAGAGGCTGGGGTGCCCATTGTCAAGCACAGGTTGTCCAAGGCAAGTGGACTCAGGCGGAAGTCAGTCAGCATAAATTGGCTGGATCTGAGAGTTATCAGACTAGCCTTACTTGGCCTTCCAAGATCATCTTTAAGGCAAAAAAAGTATTAGCGCACCAAAAAAAAAATGGTGAACTTCAACAGGCAAGGGGGCATGAGATCAAGACATGAGGCTGAGTTCTTGCTATAGTGGGCAGAGAGGTACCTGATGCCAATAAAAGCATACCTAAAGAGTATGATCAACTTACAGGCAGACTGGTTGAGCAGAAGGGACCTGGATCCAGCGGGATGGAAGTCAGGAAGTCTTTCAACAGCTGACCAGGCAGTTCGGGATGCCGAAAATTGACCTATTGGTGTCTTCCCACAACAACCAGGTTCCTGTCAAGATAACCATAAGGTTATCTCGAAGGGGACGGTGCTCTGTACCACAGGTGGCTGAAGGGGCTCCTATATGCCTTTCCGCCAACCACACTGATTTCCAAGATCATTAGCAGGATAAGGAGGGAACAGGTAGAGGTGATCTTCATTGCTCCCTTCTGGTCCAGACAACCCTGGTTGCCAGACCTGATAACCCTGGTTGTTGGTGGATTCCCTGTGGAAACTCATGGTTGTTCAGGACTTGCTAGTACAAGGTCCAGTTCACTGCCGAGGCTGGGTACAGCTGACGGCGTGGAAATTGAGCGGGAAGTTCTAGAAAAATCAGGTTTCTCTTTGGAGATAATAGCTATCATGGTGCAGATGAGGAGACCTGCTGTGAGGCGAATTTATAGCTGCATATGGAGGACCTTTTAAAATTGGGCAAAGTCTAGGAGTTTGGAACCAGTAAATTCTGCGTATAAAGATGTGATCGTGTTTCTGCATGAGGGCTGGAAATAAGGGCTGAGGCCAGACACCCTAAAACGACAAGTCACAGCTCTGGCAACAGTGCTGGGCCACAGGAGACTGAGAAACCTATCAAAAACAAGCATGTCAGGCATTTCTTGAAGGGCGCAACGCAATTGGCTTCACTGGTAAAACACAGATTCCCAACATGGAGCAAGATCCTGCAAGCTCTTACAAAGGTACCATTTGAGCCCCTGAAAACTGTTGAATTAAAATTTCTGTCTTGGCCTTCCTAACAGCACTTCAGTGCGAAGGGTGTCAGAGTTAGCAGCCTTATCTATAAGGAAAGAACTATGCATTTTTCGTAAGGACTTGGTGATTTTGAGGACGGATCCTTCTTTTTTACCAAAGGTCATTTCTCCATACCACATCAATCAACAGCTGGTTTTGCCTTCCTTTTGTCTCAAGCCAAAATATCCTAAGGGGAAGGCTTGGCACAAGTTAGACATGCACAGAGCCCTGCATATCTACCTGGACAGAACAAAGAATTTTAGGCTTTCTGATCCCGTGTTCATGCCACACAACAACCCGTCACTGGGGAGAAGAGTGTCTATTGCCTTTTTGTTCAGATCATGCATCATTAGGGTGTATGAACTGCAAGGTCTTCCAGTCTCTAGGAATGTCACTGCTCATTCCACCAAAGTAGCCTCTTCAGCAGCCTTTGCTATGAGGGCTCTGATGGAAGAGATTTGTAGGGCTGCCACGTGGTCAATATTCTCCATCTTCATCAAGCACTACCGGATTGACCAGGTAGACTCTGCAGAAGTGTCCTTCAGTGGAAGGGTGTTGCAACAAGCTGTGGAGTAGAAGGCAAATGAATGACCCATCCCTGGGTGATCACTTTGGCACATAACCAATCTGGATGACGTCCCCTACTGAAGGAGAATGAAACACTGGAACCTACCTGAAGGTTTCTTCTCTTCAGTGGGGTGAAGTCATCCACTTCCCGACCAAAGAGGAGAGCACAGAGACATGTTGAAAGACTTTCAGAGCTGGCCTATACTAAGACTGGTGGGATCAGCTGATCCAACCAAGAGAGACTTGCCAAAATTTGCATAGCCCCGACCTAACCAATCTGGATGACTTCGCCTCACTGAAAGGAAGAAACCTTCAGGTAGGTTCCAACATTTCATTCTGCTGTCTGTGTTTTAGGGCACACTGTTTCTCTCTAGGGGTGTGCAAAAAAAATATATTCGGATTCGGGTTTATTGAACCCGAATTTTTTCGGGAAACCCGAAAAAACCCGAATTTCTATACCGGTAAACCATAGATATCCGAAAATTTTCGGAAAACCCGAAAAATTCGCGTCCATTATAACCAATGGGGCCATTGAAGTCAATGGCAAAAAACCTCTTGAAACTTTGCGGGGGGCTGGGGGGGAGGGGGTAGAGCCTCCAAATTTGGACCGTGGCTGCTCAAGCCTCTCCCTGAAAGACCCCCAAAGTTTCGAGAAGATTGGTCCAGGGGGTCCGATTCCAGGGGCATCCAAAGAGGGTGCCCCCAGTCCCCCCAGATCAGCTTGCTGTATTCCCGGTTTGCCGCCGAAATTCGGCGGCAATGCATTTCAATGGGATTTTAACCTTCTGCTTTCCTTTTTGCAGACCCCTGGGGGGGGTTAGAGGGAGAGGCTCCAAACTTGGAGGGTGGTTACTGGAACCTCTCCCCAACATGCCCACCAAATATCAAGAAGATTGGACCAGGGGGTCCAATTCTATGGGCCCCCAAACAGGTTGCCCCCATCCCTCCATTGTTCTCTATGGTGGGAAAAAAAATACTTTTTTTCCCACCATAGAGAACAATGGAGGGATGGGGGCAACCTGTTTGGGGGCCCATAGAATTGGACCCCCTGGTCCAATCTTCTTGATATTTGGTGGGCATGTTGGGGAGAGGTTCCAGTAACCACCCTCCAAGTTTGGAGCCTCTCCCTCTAACCCCCCCTAGGGGTCTGCAAAAAGGAAAGCAGAAGGTTAAAATCCCATTGAAATGCATTGCCGCCGAATTTCGGCGGCAAACCGGGAATACAGCAAGCTGATCTGGGGGGACTGGGGGCACCCTCTTTGGATGCCCCTGGAATCGGACCCCCTGGACCAATCTTCTCGAAACTTTGGGGGTCTTTCGGGGAGAGGCTTGAGCAGCCACGGTCCAAATTTGGAGGCTCTACCCCCTCCCCCCCAGCCCCCCGCAAAGTTTCAAGAGGTTTTTTGCCATTGACTTCAATGGCCCCATTGGTTATAATGGACCCGAATTTTTCGGGATTTTTTTTTTCGGGATTCGGAAAAATGCATAGGAAGCCATTTTGGGATTGCAAAAGCCGAAAAAAGCCGAAAAACGTTATTTTCGGCTTTTTTTCGGTTCGGGATCCCGAAATGCACATCCCTATTTCTCTCTGCAGAAAGAAGACATACATTCCCCATACTGAATAGTGGTCCTGATTGTGGAAGCTCATCTCCTCCTCCTAATGTTGCAAAACAAGGCTTGGATCCTAAATTGCCTTTGTGTTGGCATGACTGCCAAACCACCAATTGAAGGGCATTTCCTATGGTGAGGGCAATTTCTGCTGGTGTCTCTACAGCCGCTTTAACCTCTGCACTGTTCCTGGGGTTCCACTGACTTACAGAAGCACAATTTTGAGGGCACAGAAGGCTGCAGTGGAAAGGAGGGAATTTCCCTTCCTTTGGCATGATTCGGTTTACATTGCTTGGAATCCCTGTCCAAGCCTTCCAAAAAAAACCAACCCTCCACCTGTGATAATTTCCACGCCTAAGAGAGAATTGACCTGAGAGCTTAGTGGCCAGCTGAAGATACTCACGCAGGCATTTTCCATAGCAGGGAAGAATTGTGTACAAATGAGAAATCTGTTCAGTTTCTCTTTTCTGAGAGCTGTGAAACTCCAACCAATTAAGCTCAGGTGTAGGGAGCATTGTTTTTCTCAGGGGTCGTTTCATAGAAAAAGAGCTAGGGGAACTCATTAGCATAACTCATTAGCATATGCCACACCCCCTGACATCACCGGAAGTGTGTCATAAGGCCACACCCCCTGACATCTCTGGAGATGTGTCATAAGGCCACACACCCCGCCCCCAACGGTCCCGGCCACCGCCGACCTTGCAGCTCCACTGCCGAGCCCCATGAGGGGCCCGGTGGTGGACCTGCAAGGCCGGCGGGAGTGCAAGGAAGCCCCACGAAGGCCCTCCCTGGCCCCAGGCAGGCAGGGGTGGGGAGAGGCAGGGAGGAAGCAACTTACCCTCCCTCTTCTCCTGCCTCCTCCTGGCTGAATGAGGGCCGGAAGTGGGGTGGCCGGAAGCAGGGGGCGGGGCTTCATCATGTGCCCCGCCCCCCGTACCTCACCCGGGGGAACTGCGATCCCCCCCGAAATGACCTCTGGTTTTTCTAATGGGCAAAAAACTATTTGGAACAAAAACCTGTTTCTTTGGGGAATGACGTGGTATTTCTGACTAGTGTTAGGCTGCAGTCTTGCAACGATGAAGTCCCACCAACTTCTGTAGCACAGTGTGTGGTACATGATAATAGCAGGCATTGATTTACATGTTGGTCAGTGTCACCTCTAAATCCTCTTATTTCCCAAAGGTGGCGGGGGACTTTTTAGGACGGCAGAGTGCTCATTAGCTGCAAAGTCTGGTGTGAGCATTTTTAGCAAAGAATCAGACTATATTCTTACACATACCTTGTTACATAATATTTTTAAGTGCCTAAAGAAGGTAGGAGGGGAAAGCCCATCTAACGTTTCCCCCTCTTCTCCTTTTATCTCATTTAAGGGCGAGAGGGTTGGGGCAGCTCATTCGAGCAAAGAACATCCGAACTGTGGGTGACTTGAGTTCTCTGACAGCAGCCGAGATCAAAACACTTCCCATCCGTTCTCCCAAGGTCTCCAATGTGAGAAGAGCTCTTAAAGGATATCATGAACAACAGGTAAGCTTATTTGTAGTGTTGTAACTTTAGAAAAATCTTTTAACGAAATTTTGGGGGAGGAGGCAGACACTACTGCTAGATTTGAGTTTTAAGTTCTACTAGAACCAGATGGAATTTGAAATTAATATAATGATATTAATGCATAAGTACTCAAGACTGGAGAGTATTTGCATCTCAGCAGTGTCTTTTGCTATTTAATTTGAGCATTTAAAATGTATCCTCTGTAATATTAGAGGTAGATTCCAACAGCAAAAGTTACAATGAAATAGAAAAACACTGTTTGTCTTTAAAATTAGCTGCTAAAATATCGTGGATTTGAGGAAATAGTTGACCTGGACGACACAGAGAAACCAGTCAGTGACACAGATGAAAAACCCTTTCCTTCAGATGACGAGAAAGTTGCAGCAGGTAAATATTAAGTGTTGTTACAGGGTGTCTATGCAAGGACTTTTGAAAACAGTGTAATATGTACAGCCAAATGTCAAGCACTCTGTGGGGTGTTAAATTTTTGGCAGCTGGAAGTGTTGGTGGATGCAGAATGGTACTGCATGTTTGACAGGAGTGAGCTTATAAGAATGGTATCCTGTTCTGAGGCATCTGTATTGGATGCTTGCTGGGATTTTGAGTCCAGTTCAAGGCTCTGGTTTTGGCCTGTTAAGCCCAGCATGTTCTGACCCTTGAGCACCTTCTCCTCTGTGGCCTACCCACCAATGTCCCCAGTGGAGCCAGTGAGGCCCTCCTTAGGTTCTATCCCATTGTAAAATCGGCAGAGCTCTGGGAAAGTCTTCATTTGTTGTCATCATCCCTGGCCTCTTTTCAGATGCTTATTTCGCCAGGTATTAGGACACTTTATTTTACTCATGTAACTCTTGTTGATGTGTGTATGTTTGGATGCTTTTATTAACTTCGCCTTGTGAATCTGTGTTGTAAGGCAGTTCATAAAACTGGATTGGATTCAGGTGACTGTGAATGGAATAAACTTATGGGATGGATTTCTGGGGGATGCAGCCCAAAGGAAAACCACTTTCTTGTGTGAGCTCTTCCATGAACTGAGCAAGAGCTTTCGGCAGAATGGAGGGAGTTCTGACTATTCCCTTTCTTGCTGTACTCTGTGTTCTACAGCAGGGGTGTGCCATTTTTTTAAAAAACGGGTATTTTCTGTTCAGGTCTGGGGGGTCAGTAGACCCAAGAAGAAAAATATTGGTTAAAAAAAAAAAGCCAGTACTATCCTGGAGCTGGCTTGGCTTCTCCAGGAGAAGCCAGCTCCAGGATCTGCTGTGCCATGGGAATCCGGTCACTCTCCGCGGCGCACAGATCCTGGGTGGGCAAGCTTCTCCCGTAGCTCAGTGCACAGGAAGCCTGCCTTAAGCCGAGTCACCGGGAGCAGTCTACTCCTTGCTGGCACAGCTGATTCCTCAGACTGTCTTCTGCGGTGCCATTAAACTAAAGAGACTGCAGTAGAAACCTGATAAACAGCTGAGAGGCGGGAGCACTCTGCTCTTTTCAGATCTACCCAGTAATTCCCAAATATATCCGGGATTTGAGGGGAATGTTTTTTTTCAATTTTCCCAAGAAAACCCGGCTACATTTGGGAAGCTGAAATATTTTCTGGTATATTTTCAGCTCAGGTAGATTTGAACGCACACCCATATTCTACAGCCCACTTTGTTCCCCCAAATGCCCTGACCCTCAGGAACAACTTGGGAGCAGGGTGCTTTGGAGGCTGGTTAGGTAAGGAAGAGAAAGTTCACACTTTGTTGGATCCAACCTACTATTGTTAATATATACCTAAATAATTTTATCCCAACACAAGCCTGCTGCATGCATTGCCCCCAGCTGCCTTTTCTGCAGCTGTTCCACATGCCTCTTCCAGCCATGTTGTTTAAACCATTACACAATAAGCTAGTGATTCCTACCCTCTTGGGATTGGCATGATGAATACAGTAGCCCCGTCTAGCCTGTTCGAGCTCGGAAGCTTAGCTGGTTAGTATTTGGCTATGAGACCACCAAGGAAGTCCAGGGTTGCGATGCAGAGGCAGGCAGTGGTAAACCACCTCTGAATATCTCTTGCCTTGAAAACTCTACGGGGTTGCAATAGGTCTGCTGTGACTTGGCAGCACTGTCCACCACCGTGATGGGCGAAAGTTGTATGCAAGAGGACAGCAACTGTGTTGCTGCTGGAACACACCGTGGTTTTGTTTCTCATATAGATGCAATTTTCTCTTCTTCGTAGACTTGAGTGAGCCCATGACCACCAATGAAGATGCACAGTCGCCTTCAGACCTCTTATCCCAGATCAATGTGCTTGCTGCTCAGATTACTTCAGAAAATCTTCACAGCTATTCAGGCAGTGAACTTTTTGAAATGCAAGAGAAACTGTATAACATGACAAACTGTATTATGAAAAATCTGCAATCCCGTTGGAAATCACCACCCCATGAAAGCACGGTTTAATAATTTGTACGTAAAAGCTAATTATTTGAGGAATAGGCTTAAATTACAGGACACTTTTATCTAAAATCCTGCATTTTTGAGTTGAACTCTTATGGGTTACTTTAGTGAGATGGGGGTTTTGTAAATATTAAAGCATCAAGGTGTAAAAAAAATTTTTAGTTCTTCATGTTTATTATTTAGAGTTTTTTGCTCCAGTGCACAGATTCTGAAATAATTTTGTTAAGATGTGCAATAGCAAAAACTGTGAAACTTAACATATGTAGTACCTTAACTATATTTTTTCAGATGTGTATTTTTTTACTCCTGTGTAAAAGATCAGATCTCATTGCTCTTGAAGTGTTAACTCTGACTTGCCAAAAGTAATAAGATCTCCCAGATGCTGGTACTTTGGCCAACACTGGCCTTCTAGGGTGCCTTTCATATTAAGACGTGCAGTGCTTAATTTGGGCAACCATATTTCCAAATGTTTTTGTCATCAGTAATTTTACACTGTTCTGTTTTTGCATGCATTCCTTGTATACAGAAAGGGAAAGTATATTATTACGCAATTGATGCAGTATTCTCAGGATCCAAGCACATGTCCTTGGAATTTTATATGCAAAAGAACTCTTCCCCTCGCCTGCCAACCTCTCTGTTCTCTCCCTTCCTCTGGCGACAAATAGGTTGGACATAATAACTTTGTACATTGTATATAGATCTAACAATTGCAGATATTATAAATTATCTCTATGTAAAATGAACTGTCATCTTGGGTGTGAGAAATCTTGTTTGTATACTGCACACAGTGTTTTACCAGCATGAACAGAGATGATAATGGGATCGATTCAGCTGTTATGAATGTTATATATATATATATATATAAAAATAAAACAATGAACAGTTCTTTAATTTGTAATCATATTTGAGTGGATTTTGTCTTTATTGTGCTGTGAGGCAGTGAGTCTAAAAGTTTGCATGTGGATGAGACTCTTCTGCTATAGCATATTTCATGTCTTCAAGAGGCTATAAGTAGTTTACTTGTCAGGCAATGGGATGAGTCTCCCATATACAGATATAGATTATTTGGCTGTGACCTCAGGCTGCACTTAGTCACTTATTGTCTGAACACAAAATGATGCTCTGGCACTAATTGAGAATGACGAAAATACATTTTAGAGGGAGTTAGACCAGTGAGTAAGTAAAGTTAAATTTGAAGAATGATAACTGGTATATCATTTTATGAAGTTGTGTACAAGGGAAACAGGAAGCTAAATATACCTCCAGTGTATTGTGGAGAAACAGACTTGCACATAAGTAGCATATGATTTCTGCTTGCACAAAGTCTGGGTTAAAAAACACCCCATGTACCCACATATCAAATATATTCCCAGTGCAGTCCCCCCACCATGTTGCATAGCAAACTACTGAAGACAGAAAACTTTCAAAAGGAGACTACTAATTCTCATAACCAGAAGTCCAGTGGCACCCTAAAGAACAACATTTATTCCATCATGAATGTTGCAATTTCAAATGACAGACTTGTGTTTGGTTCTCTCATGGGGATTGACTTAATATATTCTACTGTCTGCATTGAACAAACACTTCCCCCTATCCTACTATTAATAGTTTGGGCCTAGCTCCCACACTATCACTGTAAAACTTGAGCAAACAGAAAGCAGTGGGATCACAAGGCCAAAAAAGAAGAAAAACAAACTTAGCCCAATAGTCTTCTCCCAAGCGAAGCAAAAGGGTAGAGGGAAGTTCAAATTAAAGGCTGACCCTATCTTGAGTAATCTATAGGTTTCGTGTGTGTGTGTGTGTGTGTGTGTGTGTGTGTAAAAACAAACAACCATGGCTTGCAAGCACAGAAAAGACTGCCACTAGCAAAACCAGAAGAGTAGACTAGCTGGAACCTGCAACTGTTCACTGTAGCTGCTTGCCACCTCTTGAAAGAGTTGGTGGTGCCTCCTAATTCAAGGTAAGCCCATTCCAATTTCTGGAATGTAAATCTGTTCCGTAGTGATGTGGGCCACTGTTGGTTGAACAAACAGGAGTCCACCAGGAAAACAAAAGCTCTACTGGACCACTGGAGGTTAACAAGTAGGAAGAAATGCAACAAATGATCTAGCAATAAACTCTACTGCGGGGGGGGGGGGACTATGAACTATTCCATGTGTGGGAACTGGTATGACATAGGGGTTACAGTGTGTCCAACTAAGATCTGGCAGACCCAGGTTTAAATCTCCAAGCTGCTATGGAAGCTTGCTGGGTGATCTTGAACCAATAACCATCTCTCAGCCTAAGCTACCACATGGGGGCTCTGTGAGAATAAAATGGAGGAGTAGAGAACGATATAAGCCACTTTGGGACCTCAGTGGAAGAAAAGGTGTGTAAATGTCATAAATAAATGTGATTCTTATCATTTTGAGTTGCGTTTTTCATTTAAACCTTGAACAAAGTCTCTGAGATCTTGGTAAATATATTAACATGCATACACAGAAACTTGTAATGTGGCATAAGATTCTGAACAATCTATGTACTAACATTGTACACATCTTCATTCACGTTTCTGGTCCTGATGCTGAAATAATTGAGTACCAGTTGGGTGTATTAATTAGAGCAAGGGGTCCTCAGCACGGCACCCATGGGAACCATGGTGCTTGCTAACACCTTTTCTAGTGCCCACCACGTGATTTTAGAAAGTGGGTGGGGCCACATGAGCTCTTGCCCAGCAGGGCTTCTGATTGGGCACTGAAGATCTGATTGGCTATGCAAATTGAAGTAATTTTATTTCAGTGGCTGCTGCCATCACAGTGTTGGCCTTATTCTTTCTCACAACTGTTTCCCATTGTATTTTTTAAATTGCCCTTCTTTCCCCTGCACATGGGCTTGCTCCATGTGGTTGGCTCTGCCTCCTGCAACAGCCATTTTGTATCTTCACCCACCACTCATTGTAGAATTCCAGAGGTTCCCAAAGGATCAAAAAGTTTGGGGACCCCCTGAGTCAGTCTTAGACAAGGATCTGGGAGACGGTAGAAATGAAACAAATGCTGAGATTTCAAATGCTTGCAAAGATTGCTACTACTGTTTACCGATTTTGTTGTACTGGCAGTGGGTTAAGCCCTAAATCACTTGGTCATTGTTCTGTACTGGGTAGAAGTGGCCAATTTAAAAACAGAAGTGATTTAGGAATAGATTTAAGAAATCAAAGCTGCTTAATTATATGACATATTAATGTTGTGGGTGAATAAAACAGTTCTGAAGAAAAAAAAATGGCTTGATTTAAGATACGTAGCCACTGACGAACCATTCCTTAGTATATGAAAAGGAAAACTGTTGGCACCTGTCACATAATTTTTGTAAGTGTTATTTAAAATATTACATTTCTACTTGATTAATGGCACCTTTTAAGGGGATGGAGTGTTCTTAACTGAGTGGCTGATTAGTCAGTCGACACTGTCAATTTGAGAACAAATTACAGAATGTGATCCTGGGGTTTGGTGCTCTTAGTAGAACCCCTAAAGTAAGGCTAGGTTACGTTTCTGGGTAGGTTTACTGAAGAATGGGAAATGGTTTGACAAATTTCATACAGCGAGTGTTGTGGGCAGATGGGAGGGGAAGGGCATAAGGATTGTCCAGTAAGGTTATATGAGGAGAGATGAAACAGAAAGAGAAATGGGTCACCTCAAAATAAAGTTTGAAGTTCACATGCAGTATTGGATGCAGCTCGGCTTAAAGAGAGAACTGAGATGGTGGCAGAAGGACAAACGTTTCTGGAGTGATCTGAAGACGAAATACACAACTACTTTGAATAGTCTCTGGCTGAAGTTATAGCAGTCAAGCATACAGGTGATTGTGCTGAGGTAAACATTTTGAGAGGAGATACAGAATTAAAGAACTAGGGGTTTTTTTAATGAGTGGATATAGATGATGGAGAGGATGTGAAGGCTCAAAGATCACACTACAGTTGTGTGCTTTGGAGTTGAGTATGGTCACAGAATCTTAACCAGAAAATAATGTGGAAAAGAATACTTGGGAGATGATAGTGCGCAAAGTGAGAGGCAGGTAAATAGGTTTGGGGTGGACAAGGAACTGGCCTAACAAAAGCCAGTCAGCAGGTCTTCTACTGAGCTGAGCTAATCAAGATACCATTTTGTCCCATTCTTAAAAAAAAAAAAACACCTCCCACCACAGAATTCTCTCTGTTGCCAGCTTTCCTAGTGCTCTTCTTGAATTGAGTAGATGGTCCATTCTGAAAATTCCAGTGCATATGGGTGCTCTAGAGTTCCTTTAACACTGCTCATTCTGGTGCTTAATGTGAGTATGGTTTGGTCTATGATCGTCATGTAGAGATAAACAGGGGAAAATTGTACATGATTGTATTAGACCCTGATGTGGCTTTTGATACTATTAATTGGGTTGTTACTCTAGCTTCTATAGGATGTGGTGGATGTTTGTAAAACTATTTTATTTCTGCTACAGATGCCTCAAAGAGTTGTAATGATTTATGATTCGTTATTTTGTTGAAACATTCAGGGCTTCTGTTCCCAGTCAATGAGTTCACTTCAGTAAGTCCAACAAGTTGAATATTCCTGTATTGTCTCATCGGTAAAATCAGCTGAAGATTGAAAGTGAAGTTCCATGAATCTGCTAAAAATACCAGGCTTTTAATGGGAATACTTAAAACATTAGAATTTGTATACCATGACTGGAGGCAGGGCGGGCCGTTGGCTATAAGTGAGAGAAGCCCACCTTCTTCGTTCTTCGTAGTAAGATTGAATCCCATGGATCCATTCTGTCAATGGTGCCTATTTCCTCTGGTGCAAGGAACTTCCTGTTGATGAAAGAGGCTCTTGGGATTAGGGACAAGCCAACTGCATCAGGGGAAGGCTTCTTGCATTGAGGGAAACTGCCATTGTTGGTGGAACAGATCGGCAGGATTCAGCCCTTGATTGTGAGGCTTTGCTGTTTGCATCTTTTGTTTGTTTGTCCTACTGCTAACACAAATAAAGCCAATAATCAGGTTGCTGAATGTGAAATTTATTAGTCACCAACTTAGAAGGAGTAACAGCACTGTGACCCAAGAACACTCAGATGAAAAATGCATGCATCAGCGTTCTGCAAGCAGACAAGAGGAGAGGCCTTTTCAAGTTCTTTTTGTTTCAATTGCTGGTTTGAGGTGTTAGCTTTACATAGTTGCTTACTTAAGATGGAAATAAATACAATCACCTATTTTTATAATACCACAGGAGAACACTACATCTCTTGATCAGAAAACCATTAAAGTCAACACAGATGTTCCATTTTTAAAAATGAAGAGTGTGGAAATTCAGCTTGATTCCAGAGAAGAAAGGATAGCTTCTTGGAACTGTGACTCAAACAAGAAAACTTAGGGGGGTTGAATATGCAAGTCCAGATATTCAAGGCTCTGTAGTGGTGTCACTAGGATCACACTTCCAGGTGGTTATCTGACTAGAATCTTAATCATTCAGATCTTCCAGAGATGTTTGCTGAAATCTTTCCCTGATAGGCAATGCCTTGTACATATCCACAAAGGAAAACAATAAGGCACTCAGGAGAGCTTTGGAAGTGCCTTCTTATTGTCCATGTAGATATGTTTTATGGAAAGCCTCCTCTTCTTGGCTTACACTGCTTCAACATAGTTGGCTGGCAGCATGCCTGTTTTGCCTGTTCTCTGCACAGTCCCATACATCCACCCTTCATCAATGGCCTGGACATTCATGATTGTATCACCATCTTTGAAGGAGACTTCATCTGCATCTGCCGCCATGTAATCATACATAGCCCGGTATGTCTTCTGTTGGAAAAGGGAAAAAAAGGTTCTTACAGCATGGAGGCCACGATGCTGTAAACCCTCATATATTTGGAGCCACAGATCTCCCTCCAAGGAAGTATAAAAACATTTATATACAACATATGCCTACTTTATACTCTCAACATGATATTCCAATAGGTTAAATCTATGTTGTATTGTGGCCATCATTTTAGCCGCTCTGTTTCTAACACCCTCATATTGTGTAAGTTTTTAAAAATGAATTTAACTAAATCACAACTAAAATGTGTGTAGGCAGGGGGTGACACCATCCACATAAAAGGTGCTGGATTCGCAAGGCTCCCAAATCAGTAGACTTTTGGGTTCCTGCTGCCCCACAGCACCGATGGCACTTGCGGGCAAGGGCCCCCTTTGCCTCCCCCCGAAGAAGGCAGAGACATGATGCGAGTGTTATGGCATTAGGGCCAGGGGTGGAGCCAGCCAGTATATAGGCTGGCTCCACCCCCGGCCAAGCCTCTATCCTGCATGCTTGACCCACCCTCCTGATCCGTAGGTACTGCAGGCTTTGGAATTTTTCACCCCTCTTCCAGTTGGCATGGGTGGGGGGCGGGGTGTTTTCACCTACCTTGCACTGCTGTCAGGGAAATAACAGGGAGATTGGCTGTGGTGGGCCTGCTAAATAAGCAATCCCTTGGCAGGTTAGTATGGGAAAGAGGGAAAAGCAGATTCGGTGAGCACCGTATGGCAACTGTCCCATTGGGGTATAGGGCATCCCTGCTGAGCTCCCTCCCCTCCCCAAACTCTGCCTCTCCCCAGGTTCTAGCCCCAAATCTCCACAAATTTCCCAATCCACAGTTAGCAACCCTAGATCATTATATAAGGAAGGGGCCATAGCTCAAGATGGGCAGCTCATCGATGGAACATCTGCTTTCAATTGAAAAAGTCCCAAGTTCAGGCAGCTCCACCCAGAGGATCTGTGGCTCTAGATGGCAAAAGAACTTTTCTGCCTGCAGATTTGGAGAATAGCTGCCAATCAGAGAAGACTATACTGAGCTAGATGGACCAATGGTCTGCCTTGATATAAGACAGCTTCCTACATTCACAGAAGCTAGTTCTTGTGTACAACTTACTTGTGTGGTATCAGAATAATGGAAATCCATTTTCCTTACCCCAGCAGTAGATGGTTGAGATGGGATGGAAGATACTGTTGTCTGCTGTGTAGCCACAGAAGATGATCTTTGTTGTGGTAGCTCTACAGTTTTAGCTTGTTTGTATCCCACTAGAAAAAGAAATAGTGTACAAATGATCAGTGAACTGGAACATTTGTTCCTCTTTAAAATTTCAGTGTGCTTCAAAAGGATGATACAGGGCATTTGTGGCACTTACATGTGTTTCATGAGATGGTAATGGCTTTCAGCTGGTGTAACTAAACATGAGTATGATGTGTTATTTTAGAGAAATACCTTTGTAATTAGACCCCCACTTTGTAACGACCCCCACTCACCGAGCCGGGCACACACTTGATTTGATCTTCGTGGCGGGGGGGTAACAGTGGACCGGGTTACTGCTTCGGCAGTCCCATGGTCGGACCACCATGCCCTGGGGGCCCATCTGAATGTGCCGCCCCAACCCTGTTTAGGCGGCAAGCGTATTTTAGCTTGCCCACGGAGCCAGATGGACCCAATGAGGCTTCAGATGGCTCTATGGGATCCAATGCCCCCTGGCGGCTTGTTGGATGAGCTTGTGGAAGACTGGCATAGCCGACTCTCCACAGCCATCGACAAGATCGCTCCTTTGTGCCCTCTGCACTCTCACCCTAGGCTTGCTCCCTGGTTTATCCAGGAGTTGCGGCTTATGAAGCGAGAGCTAAGACGGCTAGAGAGACAGTGGTGCCGCACTCGTGACGAAGCTACAAGAGCATCCTATAGGATGTTTATGAGATCCTATGAGATGGCAGTCAAAGCCGCGAAGAGAGAGTACTTTGCAGCTACAATTGTATCCGCGAGCTCATACCCAGCCCAATTGTTGAGAACGATTCGGTCTATAACAGCTCTGCCACAGGGCAGGCCAAACACCAGGGAGGCATTTGTGAGCTATTTCGTGGATAAAGTCTTGTTGCTCCGCCGTGACCTCCCCACCACAGTTGAAACAGTAAGTGAACTCAAGGCCCCAAGCACGTCTTCAATTTCGGTTTTGGACCATTTCAACCCGCTCAGCCTGGAGGAAGTTGACAGATTGCTCTTGACTGTTCATCCAACCACATGCAGCCTTGACCCATGCCCTTCTTGGCTTATTAAAACTGGCCACAAAGGGTTTCGATGTGCCCTAAGGGAAATTATCAACAAGTCCCTCTCAGAGGGGCTGTTCCCAGGGGCACTCAAGGAAGTGATGGTCCATCCTCTCTTTAAAAAAAACATCTCTGGACCCGGCCAAGTTGGCGAACTACAAGCCGGTCTTCAACTTGCCCTATTTGGGCAAGTTAATCGAGAGGGCTGTGGCATTACAGTTACAGGGCTTCATGGATGATGCTTCCACGTTAGATCCCTTCCAGTCTGGCTTTTGCTCTTACTGATGACCTCCGGAGGCATCTGGATTGGGGCAGTTCGGCAGTACTATTGTTGTTGGACCTGTCGGCTGCATTTGACACAGTCGACCATCAGTTACTGATCCACCGCCTCGTCGACATGGGAATTCAGGGGCTTGCCCTGCAATGGCTTTCTTTCTTTCTCCAGGGTTGGGGACAAAGAGTGGAACTAGGGGAACAGCAGTCCACGAGGCACCCGCTGGAGTGTGGAGTGCCCCAAGGGGCAGTGCTGTCCCCGATGCTGTTCAACATCTGTATTTGCCCCCTTGCCCAGTTTGCCCAGAGGTATGAGCTAGGGTGCCACCAGTATGCTGATGACACCCAGCTCTATCTGATGTTGGGCAGCCGGTCAGACTCCAGACCAGAAGATCTGGACCAGGCACTACAAGCCGTGTCTGGTTGGCTTAGGCTGAGCCAGCTGAAGCGGAATCCGATGAAGATAGAGGTCCTGTGCATGAGTCAGAGCGGTTTGGGAGGAGGGACCCTAATCCCGACCTTCGGTGGGGCACTATTGGTGCCAGCGCCAGAGGTTAGGCATTTGGGACTGCTCCTGGATCCCTCCTTATCAATGGAGGCCCAGGTGGCAGCCACTGCCAAGTCAGCCTTTTACCAGCTTCGGCTGATTAGGCAGTTGGTTCCCTTCCTCAACCGCGACAACCTAGCTACGGTGATCCATGCGATAGTCATCTCGAGACTAGACTACTGTAATGCTCTCTACATGGGGCTGTCCTTGTTGCAAATTTGGAAGCTGCAGCTAGTGCAGAATGCTGCGGCCAGTCTTTTGATGGGTCTTCCCAAATGGGAGCACATCCAGCCTGTGCTGAAGACGCTGCACTGGCTGCCAATAGCATACCGAATTTGCTTCAAGGTGCTGTTGCTTACCTTTAAAGCCCTAAATGGCCAGGGTCCAACATACCTGAGGGACCACCTTTCCCCATATATACCCCAGAAAGCACTGAGGTCGGGGTCCCAGAACCGACTGACCCTTCCGGGCCCCAAGGATGCCAGGCTCGACATGACTAGCACCAGGGCCTTTTCAGTGGCGCCTCTGTACTGGTAGAATGAGCTCCCAGAGGAGATCAGGGCCCTGCAGGATCTTGTGCAGTTCCGCAGGGCCTGCAAGACGGCGCTCTTCCACCAGGCTTTCAACTAGGAGCAGCCCCCACTACTACTGAGCTGGCCCGCAGTACTAACATCTGGCCTCCACCACTGTGCTCAGGAAGACCATTGAGTGGCAAACTGTTTGGCTGTAAGGGATTTCCAGCATGCCATCTTATGTACCCAATGTATCAGCACTAGCACTTTATGAGTCTATGTTTTTACTGTATTTGAAATTTGAAATTGATTTTATGTGAATTGAATGGTCATTTATAGACCAACTACGTAAGCCGCCCTGAGCCTGCCTGCGGGGAGGGTGGGGTATAAATTGAATTAATAAAAATAAAATAAAATAATAATAATGTTTAAAAAATTCATGCAAGAATATGGATGAATAGAGCCACTTTTGCATGTGTATTCAGTCACCCAGCTGCATAATAAACAGAATACTGGCTCTTCCAGTACTGCCTAGGATTTGCTACTCCCCATACTGGTTTCTGCCTTGAGAGATGGCTATAGTTTCCTGACAGTAAGACATGAAAACCCTCAGGCATAAAGAGAACTATGATAGGTACTACATGGCCACAATGGTGAATAGTGAGTTGATGTTGAATCAGTCATCATGCCTGGCAATGACAATCTGTTACACTGCCAGCCAACTTTAATCACATGTTAAAGGTTATTACCAAAGCATTACTTGTGTTGTGCAACACGGCTGACAGCACCATGGCCAAAATATTTTTTATTCACTCTGCTTATCATCACTGAGACTCAAGTTGTTGCCAGCCCACCAGATAAACTGTTTTTGCCTTTGCAGCCCTCTCTGATCATACTTTGTTTTCAGTGATCTCAAGTTTGATGTGATGAAAATTCTACATTTGGAGGAAATCCTCACTTCCTGCATTTCAAGGCCATAGAAAAGTCTTTTTCCAGGGCAATGCTGTCTTGTTTAAAATTAATAAACAAATCACCACAACAAAAGTTCTTTCACTGCATTGGCTTTCTCTCGCAGTGTAACCTTGAAGAGCAAGTGTTTGAACTTTGCTGTGATGACCTCCCCTCACCCCGGCATGAATTGTTTTCCCCAGTGCAACTTGAATGGCACCCCTGTTCAGCTGAACCAGCTTTAGCCATTTCTGTACCTGTTGTAGCCGTGGTAAAGAAACCTCCATTACTGTAATAGGACAGATGCTGGTCAGCATTTTCTGAATGCTCTGATTTTTCATCTCCAGCACTGAGGCTCAGTGCACTAGCAGAGCGGGATTGCTCTCGGCTGCGTCGTTGGGCTTGAACTGGGGGACAAAGATGGGGAGAACACACGACTTTTGACATCAACGTGTTTCAACTTCCTCTGCAAGCATCTACATCAAAAGAGTAAAACTGGAAGAATACAAATACTTGAATGGCTGCAGACAATGTCACAGACTGTGCAACATACCAGTAATCAAATGTAAGCTTCTAGACTGAATGTTGTCTTCTGCTGGGTCATAGTCAAAGACTGATCCAGGATTAGTACGCCACACACGAAGATCTGCCAGAAACACATGGGTAGTGATAAGTGCTATTCTTTTTTTACTCTTTACCTCCAAAATCAAAATATAGTAAGTGAAAGAAAATTAGTAGCTGTAGTGCCTATGTGTCCTTGAATATCATACTTGAATTTAGGGGACAAAGGATAAATGTAACAACACACACAAACCAGAAAACTGATCCACCTAGTTCAGATTTGTTTTCTCTGACTGGAGGTGGCTCTCCAGGACTGTGAGCAGAGATCTTTCTTGATGTTTTCTACTGATATCCCTTATAATCAGAGGGCCAAACTAGATGTGACAGTACCCATAAGACTGACCTGTGGACACTGTCAATATTTTAAATGGATTTTAAAATGCTGTGAGGGCGATTGGGCCCACAGTAGGGCTGAGGCACACTTTCTCCTCCCCGGTGCCATTTCAAGTGTGGAAATGTAGGCATTTTAAAATCCCCTTAAAATGTAGATGGCATCTATGGGTGGGTGCTGTCACATCTAGTTTAGCCCAGAGATGCCAGGTTACTGAACTTGGAACCCTTTCCAAGTGTTTAACATTGAGTCACAGACCCTCTTCCCAAAGAACCTTTTGGCTCAAACTTTAAATGTGACCTGGTCAGAAATCTTGGCAATCGGAAAGGGCATTTTTGTTTATATCCTAACAAAAATTGCAAACGTTATTCAGTTACAGGAAGGCCTACAACTCAGTGGCAGGGCTCCTGCTTTGCAATAGCTGGGAAGACCTCTCTGCCCAAGACCTTGGAGAGCCACGGCCAATGGTGAGTGGCTATTCTCAGCTAAACTGTCCAACATGGTTCATCATGCCTTTCTTCATGTGGTTCATCATGCCTTTCTTATCAATGATACAAGACTGTTGTGTCCATCTTTATTAAGGAAGAAATGGAATGCTCAAGCATATCTAGTTATCTGAAAGCAACTTAGAAAGCAATCCTACACAGGTCAGATGGAAATCCCACTTTATTCAGTGAGGCTTACTTCCAAGAACGTTTTCTTAAAGTGGCAGCCTAACAATGCAATCCTATACAGTTATATCCTTCTAAGACCATTGATTTCAATGAATTTAGAAGGGCATAGCTCTGCTTAGAATAGCACTGTAAAAGTATAAGATTCATGGCTACTGCACTGCAAATGAACATCAGGATGGTCACATTTGAAAGAAGATGGAAAGTATAGCACAGTAATAATTTTCTACATATATCATAGACAATTTTTTTTACTCTGGGGATTTTGGGGGTGAGTTTGGGGTTGCCATCTCCTCCAGGCCCCAGGTAGGCTGTTCAGACAAGCCTCAGTATAGCAAAAGGGGGAGGGGTTTTTTGCTCACCCAGTTCCCGCTCCCCTGTCGTCTCCTGGACCTTCCAACAGGCTTCTGGGCCAGATCCTGGCTCTCCCTCCTCCTTATGCCCTCCTTCAGGCTGCCCTTAAAAGGCAACTCTGGGGGAGGAACAACCCCAAGCTCCTCCAATCTCTCCTTTCCCCTTGGTGGGACCTGCCTGATGGGCAGGGGCCCAAGCCAATGAGGATTCTGCTGAGGATTCTTCCTTCAGAACTCCACCCCCTCCCATGCCCTCAAGGGCTGACATTTCAGCTTCATTTGGGCTTCAGAAGGCCAGGACCCTCATGCCAGTGTTCCGCCCCTCCTTCCTGCTTGTTCCAAGCTTCTCGTTTGGAGGCTCATTCATCACTTGCAGGGGCTCCACTGCCGCTTGCCTCCCCTCCACTGCTGCTGCCTCCTTCTTTCTGGACACCACTCTTTCTGCCAGCGTGCAGGACAACTGGGAGTCAAGCCACACCACCTCTCATTCCACTGCAGCCTCTTCCCTCCCCCCCGGCCGATGTCCTGCCACTTGCCGCATCCCTGTATGACCGAAGGGTCCCAGCCGGCTCCTTGGCCACCTCCCACCTCACTGCTGCCGCTGCCAGGGGGCCTCTGAAAAGCTGGAATTGGTTCCCCCAATTAAGGTGAGTGGGGGGGGCAATGCTGCCCCCCCCGGACAATTATGTCACAGGTTAGTGAGATACCTAATGCAAAAGAAAGAACAATACAGTCTAAAAGATGAATACCTGTGAAGTTGTTCAGTTCTTGATCCTGCTCTACACGTTTTCTTTCTATTTCCACTACTTTCCTCTGAATGCCCCTGTAGCTGATATCACTGAAATCTTGCATGTTCTTCTTTACACGCTCTGTTATGGGGTCAGTAACCACTGGTGTGAAGCTGCCTTTGCTCTTTTCAAAATCTTCATGGTATTTCACCTAGAATTATCAAAACAACATATGTCTATTCCAGGTTTACATTTCTTAGTAAATTGTGTTTCTGCTTACCTTTTTTTATATCCTAGTTACATTCACTCCACTGGTTTTACTGGATGATTCCTATGAACTCTGTTACATCAAGACTGATTCCTGCTTTTGTATTTTAATGTTTGGGTAGAGAACAGTTCATTTTTGTGAAGGACTAAGCATGGTTTAATAAATCTCCACTGACATTTTGTTTGTGTTGATCTCACAGAAAATGATATTTACCGTGGAAATGTGCCGTTGTGTCTCACGAACACGCCTCATTTCAGGGGTATCCAGGACAAAGGCTGCTTTACCTTGTACTTGTTTCCGGAAACTATCAGAATACAGGACCTGACAAAATGAGACATTGTGTAAGTGAATAAGGCCAATCAAGGAACAGATTTCATGAAGAAGTCCTCAGAAATGAAGAATGAATGAACAGAGCACCAAATGTGGAAACAGCTTAATGGCACGAATATGCCAAAATTCGCCTTTAAGTAGAGGTGGAGAGTTGCCCTTAAAAAGATAATTGCAGATGTAAGATTTATTTTGTATTATTTATATTGATTCCAAGCTTATCCCACTCAAGAATTCCTGATAGCAAACACTCAGAACACAAGATCATACAATAAAATGCCAATTTTAAATGTAAAACAGTAAGTGAAATTACAACTAGCCATCCTAGTTCCAGACACTAAAACACTGCCTAGGACCAAGGTGTTCCAGGCTACTCTAGAAAACAGTTGGGCAGGGCTTAAACTTTGTCAAGTATCTGGAGAACAAGAGATCTAGGTGTGTGACAGCCATCAACTTTGGCAAACAGAGGATATACTCAGGAGCAATTTAATTGATCTTAAAAACAGTGAAAGCATGTAAGGGTGACCGAGGTTGAAAGGGATTAGCAATCTGGATTATGCCCAGAAAAACACTGGTATAATATGTTTATGAGGACTCACTTCCACCAAGAGGCCTGCTACCATATTCAACACCCACTAAAGTTTCCAAATGATTATCCCAGTCAGCACCATATGAGGCGTATTACAGCCATCCCATCTAAAGATCTAGATTTAGGTCTGAATTAGAGTATTATAAGTGGAAACCTCCAAGGCTTCACAAAAAGAATTGGAGGGTCTCTTCCTGATGCAGTAGAGCTGTAAATTGATGGTTTACTGGGCAGAGGCTTCAGGAGTCAGTACTTTACCACACTTCCCTCCCTTTTCCTCTATCAGGATAGCTGTAGCTTACATGGAAGAATTGCATAAGTAAATTGATCAACAACAGTATCATTTTTAACACAATGAATTAGTTTTATATTTTTATCCCCCAATATGAGAACAGACACTTTCATTATTTTTAACATAATTAAATTCATCCATCCACCAGTTTTTGTACAGTATTTGTTTTAGATTGAACATCCTCTGTCTTATTGATGTAATTTCTCTCCCAGTGGCCCTCCTGCAAATAAGAATGAACTCATTGGCTATTGAATCTTACTACCTTAAACTGACCTTAGCAAAGTAAGGAAAATCAGTGATCATCTCTACCATGTCCACATGGCTTTACTTTACACAAAAAGTATGGCCACTGACATACGGTGACATACATAATGTTCCCCACCCCCAAAATACATAGAGACACTGTGTGTTTCCCCCCAAAAAACTTAAGCAACAGTAAGCATTAAGCAACATTAAGAAAGGAACTGGAAACTGGGTTCTAAGATCTAGAACTTGGTGGATCAAAGCAGCTCAAATTAAGGAAGACTGGTATTCTTCCTTTCTTTTCTGTGGGCATCTCCCATGGATTTTATACACTGTGGAACAACAGTGGCTTGAAGGGTTCATGACCTTGGGATGTTGGATTTGTGTGGCTATTTAGTGAATGTAGCTGCTGTTGTTTGGACCATATATGGCCTTCATCTGAAGGTAGGAGCAGTTATTTCAGTAGATCTGATACTGACAGGGATCCAGAGCACTATGTGTGGCTTCCAAAATGGATATTTGAGGAGGGCCATTTGTGACAATCCCTCATGCCCCTGAAAATCCCGATGGCCTTTCAGGGAGAAAACGACTCTACAGACCATGCACTGACAATAGAATGTCTGCTCATATGCATAAACCTGAATTCGCTCTCACCTTTCATAGTATGTAGTCATTGCTACCTTATAATTTTTTTTATGGAATACTACATGGGGCTAGAGAAATTATACATGCTGATGTTACCTTTGAAAAGTAGTACTAGATAGACATCAGCCACAAATCTCTTTTTTGGGAAGTATCTGTGAGATCAAGGACAAGAAATAGCTACAATTTTGCATTCCACCAAGATGGTATAGCATCTACTGGCACAATGATGGGAATTCATGTTCTAAAACTTCAGCAGCAATACTTAGGAGTCTTATGCAAGGAGGCTTCCCAATTCATTTTAATAGGAGATATACTCAAACACATATAAGTGGAGTTTCACTTCTGAATGATTTAGGAAGCTCTTACAGGAAATAAGTGGCTTGGATCCACTGACAACTTCTATGGATGGAAGGGTTTTCCATCTGTCCAAAATGTCCCCATTGCTTTTCTTGTGAACAGTGGACCCTCCAGCACAGAATGGGGGGGGTCAGACATCCGCCCCCTTCTATCCACAGAAATCCTTTGGTAAATCCAATCCATGCACGTCAGAGCTTGCATATTTGCATGAGATGCCTGTGGGACTGCCTGAAGAATTAGTCCAGCTTCTTCAGACCACCTAAGCAAGCTTCTTTGGGGCCTCAGAACTAAATAACCACCTTCATCTTGTTTCTCTTTGAAATCAGTCATGAACAGGCCCACAGAGTTTTGGATTTATGTAAGCTGTTTCCAAGAATGATGTAAAGTGTGGCACTGAAGTAATTTCATTTCAGTTTATATTACATATTTAATCTAAACACATATTATTCATTTTTAGAGACTGTTAAACTGTTATTTGAGGTCAATGGTTACTTCAAAGTCCACATACTATGCATTAAATGTAGGCTCTACAGAAATATGAGTAAGGATCAAATATTAATGTTATACTTTGAGTTATATTTTAGTGTCTTAAATGAAAAAAATATAATTATATTAATAAAGTTAATAGTTGGGTGATGTTTATAAATAGATTAAAGAAAAAGTTATACTTTTTAGGTGTTAAAAAGTTATATAGTTCATAGATCATTGGTCTGTCATTCTGAAAAATACCGAGCTAATGTTTTCTTGATTGCGTCTAGCTCTCTCCATCTCTGGAGTAACAGATGTTGGAGTTCCTTTTCCCAAGTTCTCTTTGTACAACACCTACAGCATACAAGAAAGTGTCCAGAAATCAAAATTAGATGGTTGTCAATGAACCATAGTGTAAGTTGTGTTACTGTTTAATCATACTCATCACTGCAGTTGGGTAAAATACTCAGAAAACAAAGTGTTAAAAAGTTACTAAATAAGATAAAAACATAAGGTAGTTTAAAAAAAACGAAAATGAAAATAAAAGGAGTGTTTTCTTTATGAAACTAAAAATGGATAAGAACTGGATAAATTAGAATGCAGGACAAAGTTGATCACAGGTTATTTTTTTAGACTCATTTTTCTTTTTTCTTTCAAATACCAAGCTAATGTTTTCTTGATTGCGTTTGGCTCTTTCCATCTCTGGAGTGACAGGGGTCGGGGTTGCTTGCCCCAAATTCTCTTTATATAAAACCTGAGAATTGCAACAAAAAAAGAAGTATCCAAAAATCACAAAACATAGAGTGAATGAACCTAATAGGTTTGAAAAATAAAGTGTGGGGGGGAGTGTTGATAGATGATAGATAGATAGATAGATAGATAGATAGATAGATAGATAGATAGATAGATAGATAGATGATAGATAAAGATAAAAATATATTTCATGAAGAATTACTTGGTATAATTGGTTGAATGTGATCAGATATCTGAATGATTGTATTATGCATTTAACTCTTCCTTATGAGAACTGCATTTTCTTTCTTTATGTGACACCTCTCTCTCTCTCTCTCTCTCTCTCACACACACACACTCACACACACACACACACACACACACACACACAAAAGATCTGTGCTGAAACAAAGGCAAAAATCCAAGGAAGGGAAAGTGTAAAAGTGAAATTAAACAGCTGTAAAGCAAAGTAACTGAAACAATATATATATATATTAATTTAAGAACAGGATTCTATCCAGTTGGCAATATCTATAATTTTACATAATGGTTGTGCCCAAAGAAGTCTTCATGAGTAACAACATGGTCCAAGTATCTGTCATAGTTTAGAAAATATCTTCCCTACCCCCATCTCAAATCTACTCCTTAGGACTTCTTGTTTGCTTTCTTAAACTATTGATTTTGGATGTTCAAGGGCTTTTTTTGTAGAAAAAGCCCAGCAGGAACTCATTAGCATAATAGGTCACCCCAACAGGAGAAACTCATTAGCATATTAGGCCACATCCTGACAGCACAGCTCATTAGCATATTGGGCCACACCGCCATGCCTTCCCTTGGCTTCCCTGGGTGCCCTGCAGCTGTGGGGAGCCTGGGCAAGCCCCCCTTGAAGGGAAGGGAAGGCAGTATAAACTGCCTTATCTTGGCTTGTCTGGGCACCCCGAGGTTGTGGGGAGCCCAAGCAAGCCGGCCCTTGCAGGGGAGGGGAGGCAGTTTAAACTGCCTTCCGACCCTTGGACAGGCTGGGGAAGGCACGGGGAGGCATACCTCCCCAATAATTCCAAGCCCCACCCTCGCCTGCCCACCTCAGAGTCACTGGGGGGGTCGCTCTCCAGGCCTTCCCTCTGTAGTCATGCACGCAGAGGTTTTGGCTGTAGTGGGTGTGGCCAACTCTGAAGCCAGCTGGAACTCCATTCCTGTGCGTTCCTGCCCAAAAATAGCCCTGGATGTTCATATATGCAGGAGATAATGAAGAATCATTTCCTGTTTTCCTTGCAGTTTTCTGTAAGTTCTGAAATAGAATTTTGTCATCTTTTTTTTTTCCTGAACGATGAGATGCACAAAATTCTGTACACTTCATGATGGGTGGGGCAGAGTGATATAAATGCAGACATTCTGTCAGCCATTTGCACTTCCTACATATTCTGCTACCCCAAACTTTCTCCTCAGAGACACAACTTAGCCTTGAACCATGAATTCTGATGACCAGATATATTGATAGGCCTTTTAAACCCCTTTATCTAGAATGCCAGTATCATAGTAAAACAATATTGTATTTCCTTGCTTCAACATTCTCTACCATGCCATATTATGAAACTATTGTAGAAGAATTCTTAAGTGTATTATATATGTAGGGCTCCGATTATATGTTCTATTATCATCAGAGTAAGGACTCCTCCCGGTAACTTACATTGTAAGGTGAATTACATTTAATAAACATTATAACTGAACAATCTTTTCATGGGCTTTATCTAAGGTACTTTAAGTTCATATGGACCAGCAATCAGAAACTAGTTGTGTCTGGATAGAGCCCTACAATCATCAATACAAAGGTCATCAATACTCTTTTAATTTTCACAGTTACAGTATTAATAATACATTTATGTTATAAGTAAACAGTGAGTATTTTATATGAAGAAGAGAATTTTAGAAACTAGACAGAAAATTTCTGTAGTTTGTTAGAATGTTATTATTATTTTTCTTTTGAATACCGAGCTAATGTGTTCTTGATTGCGTTTGACTCTCTCCATCTCAGGAGTGACAGGAGTAGGGGTACCTTTCCCCAGTCCCTCTTTGTACAAAACCTACAGGATACAAAAGGGTATCCAAATATCATAAAACAGTAATAAATGCCAATAAAGTGTTATCAGGTTAAAATGTTAATTTGGATTACACCAATTTCCACTAAAGCTAATGAGGTGTTGATCTGAATGCCACCAAAATGGAAACTTCCAATCAACACCATATAATAAAATAATCTAGTAGGATGAGAAAGATGAAAATAGAAGTCAAGATGTGTTTGCTGAAAATAAAAAGGAATAAGTCAATCTAGTATAAATAAGTTAAAGCTTAGGATGTAGAGAAAGTTTAAAGTTCAAAGGACAGGAGTTTTATAGCAGGAGGTGAATTGATACTATTTGTGGTTAGAAGCAAACTCATTTACACATCAGCTGTTATTTTATACAAATCAGGACAAAGTTTTTTTATTTAAAAATACCGAGCTAATATTTTCTTGATTGCGTTTGACTCTCTCCATCTCTGGAGTGACAGGTGTCGGGGTACCTTTCCCCAGTCCCTCTTTGTACAACACCTATAGGATAAAAGAGGGTATCCAGAAATCATAAAACAGCAATGAATTCAAAGAAAATATGATTAGCTTAGAATGTTAATGCTTGGGTCACATCAGCTTCCAATAAAGCTGATTGGCTGTTGATTTCAGTGTCATGAGGAACAGGCTTTTAATCAACACCCATAGAGGGAAATAATCTACTGGAGAAGAAGGCTGGAAAAGTAGAAAATAAAGATCAAATGTGTGTTTGCTGAAAAATAAAAGGTAGTAGTAAGTCAAACCCTAGTACTAATATATTAAAGCTTAGCTTGTAGTCAGAGGCTATAGAATTGAAACTATTTTTGTTAGAATTAGTGAATCACTATGTTATTTTAAACAATCAGATCTTAAATGGATATTTTTTATTCCTTTTGAATACCGAGCTAATATGTTCTTGATTGTGTTTGACTCTCTCCATCTCAGGAGTGACAGGCATAGGGGTACCTTTCCCCAGTCCCTCTTTGTACAAAACCTACAGGATAGAAAGGGGTATCCAGAAATCACAAAGCAGCAATGAAAACAAATAAAATATGATCAGCTCAGAAAGTTAATACTTGGATCACATCAATCTCCAGTAAAGCTAGTCTGTTGTTGATTTCACTGTCATCGGGAACAGAAATCCTCAATCAACATTCGTACAAGAAAATAATCTAGTAGAAAAAGGTTACAAAGGTTAAAAAAAACACCTAAAGACCGGTTGCTAGGTTTGCTGCAAACTAAAAAAGGAATAAATCAAAATACTAATAAGTTGAAATGAAGATTGTAAAGAGAGTTTATTATTGAGAGGGTAGGAATCTTATGGCAAGGTGAATTGATACCATATTGGTTAGAATGAATAAATCAGTAACACTAATAATGTTACTTTATAAATTGTTATTTAAACACTTCATATCTTGAGGGTTGTTATTGTTTTCCTTTTGAATACCGAGCTAATGTGTTCTTGATTTCGTTTGACTCTCTCCATCTCAGGAGTGACAGATGTAGGGGTACCTTTCCCCAATTCCTCTTTATAGAAAACCTATAGGATACAGAAAGGTATCCAGAAGTCATAAACCAGTAATAATACAAATAAAATATTATCAACTGTGTTAATTTGGATCACACTAGCTTCCAATAAAGCTGCTGGGATGTTGATAATATTGTCATAAAGCCATCAAGAAACACTCAAATAAAATAATCTAGAACCATGAGAATGCTGAAAATGTAGAAAATAAAGACCAAACGCTAACTTTGCTGAGAAATGAGAAAGTAGCAAGTCCTAATACTAATATGTTAAAATGTAGAGGTGTTTTAATATTTAGAAGGTAGGGGGTCTTGTGACAAACAGGATTATTGATAACATATTTGGTTAGAAAGAATGAATCAGTAACATGTATAATGTTATTTTATAAAATGTTATTTAACACTTCAGGTCTTAAGAGGGTTTTTTTTTTCTTTTGAATACCGAGCTAATATGTTCTTGATTGCGTTTGACTCTCTCCATCTCAGGAGTGACGGGTGTAGGAGTACCTTTCCCCAACTCCTCTTTGTACAAAACCTATAGGATACAAAAGGGTATCCAGAAATCACAAAACAGTAATAAATACAAATAAAATGTTACAGCTTATCATGTTAATATCTGGGTCACACCAGCTTCCAACAAAGCTGGTAGGCTGTTGATTTCAGGGTCATCAGGCCTTCAATCAACACCCAAATAAAATAAGCAGCACGAGAAAGTTGGAAAGTAGGGACTATAGACCAAATACTGCATTTGATGACAACTAAGAAAGGAGTAAATCAAGCCCTAGATGAATACATTACATTTTAGGTTGCAGAGAGAGTTTAATATCCAGAAAGTAGGGGTCTTAAAAAGAGGTGAATTGATATAACTTTTGGTTAGAAAGAGTGTATCATTAACACTTCTAATGTTATTTTAAACCATTCAAGTCTTAAGGGGGATTTTCACCCTTTTTGAATACCGAGCTAATGTGTTCTTGATTGCGTTTGACTCTCTCCATCTCAGGAGTGACAGGAGTAGGGGTACCTTTCCCCAGTCCCTTCCCTACATTTTCTTTGTACAGTACCTGTGAGACATAAGAGCAGCCATATAAACCAGCAATAAATGTTTAAACACTATAGAAGCTGTAAGGTAGTTTTGAATTTGCTGTAATTATTTTGAAAAGTGTGGGTGTTACTGTTTAAAATAATGCATAAAAGCCCCCTTCCCCCCTAAGAAAACAAGGTCTAGTGCACATAACAATTATTTCATTGATAGGCACCGAATTCTGTTGAGGTGGTAAGAAAATAGAGTGTAATATTTCAGGACGGACATGAATGTAAGGCAGGTAGCAAAAGGTTAAAAAGTCTCAGAATGTGATACCATCATAATAAAGAAAACTATTAAAAAGGTAAGAGGTTCTGTAATATGTATGGGCAATAAAGAGCTAAGCTGGGATGCAGGAGAGTTAACTACTAAAAAACAGAATAAAAGTTTCTTTTTTCTTTCCATAAAGTACCGAGCTAACGATTTCTTGGTTGTGTTTGGCTCTCTCAACCTCTGGAGTAACAGGAGTTGGGATTCCTGACCCTAAGGTTTCTTTGTATAGGACCTGTATAATGACAAGGTAATATAAAAAAATCAAGAGTTAATTAAATTCTGCTTTAAAAATGGTCTTGAAATTCTGGGTCTGAGTCTACAGTGTGATTGTTTCAGCATGGCCATGTGAGGGCTTGTCCATGTTATATTTTCACGGTATTTTTCCTGTGGTTTCTTGCCTTTTCATTACTGATTCATACAAGGGTGGATCCATGATATAACAAGGATATAATCCAGCCAAGAACGTTTAAATCCCACTGCTTTCAACAGGAATATTGTGTACATACTTTAATCTCTCCCACTGAAATCAATGGGACTTACAAGTGCCAAGTGTTGGCTGGATCATGACTAAGCAAGTACGAAACCCACAGACATACTAGGAAAGAAATACTGGATGCTGTACTGAAGACAAACTTAAATGTTTTGAATTACATGGGAGTTTTATACAGTTGGATCAAAAATTTCTTCTTAATACTTTGTGAACACATACTTGGTACATTACTGTACAACATGCATGCTAGAGAGTTGTGCATTGGATTGTCTTTCGCCATTTCTTACCACAAGCCATATTGGTGAGCTCTGTATGAACTTGGAGAGAAGGTTTATACTGGCAGCCAGGAAAAAAGCAAAGAGAACCATTGGGAAAAATACCACAAAGTAAGAATTCCCAAGGCAGAAATATAGCATATTACAAGCTTAATATCAAATGGGCCCACCATTTTCCAGTTCTGTAATCATATTCCTACAGTATTGTCTACTGAATGTTTTGTGTTGTCTCATTGTTTTCTATATTTTGTAATCCACTTTGAGTCTCAGTGAGAAAGGTGGACAATAAATGAAACAACAATATTATAATTTATACGGTGTATAAAATTCCAATGTTTTATTCTGGCGTATGTTGGTTGCATACTAATTTTTCTGATTTTTTAAATGTGCTGTGTTCAACCCAACTGGAGATTCAGACCATATGCTCTGTATAACATGTCACAGAAGTAAAAAGTTATTTTGAATGAGGGGAAAATCAAGATCAAAATATTTATCAAAAAAATCAAGATAAAAAAGAAAAGGTTAGGATAATGACTAAAAGGATCAAAATGTACAAGATTACTGAATAAAACATTCAACTGCAAAAAATGTAAACAATGTCAGGAAGGGGGGCATATTTTTCTATAGGTGAATTACATGCAAGGGAACTTTTACAAAGTATTTAAAAGCTATTTTTAATAATGGAACCTTTGAACCCCGTGGTCTCTGCTTATAAACCTATGTGCAAAAGGACCACAAGCTCATGAAGCCCAGGCATGTGGGTGCCCAAAATGATCCCAGTCCCCTTCCCTATGAGTTCATCCCTATATAGTTGTGACCATCCCCACAAGGTTACAGTAGGATATCTATGGGATAAAACTGAAGTATCATAATAAAAGGGAGAAAAGGCAAAAAGGTACCACTGCATGCAGTTAAGAAAATCTTTCCAAAATGTCTGTAAACAAAAAGAATGAAAAAAGTAAAAAAAGAATGTGGTATGTTATGATCACACGTGATGGAAGAATTTGTGTTAGGAGCAGATTCAACACCAATGGATAAAGGTGAAAAGGTAACTAATTGAATGTGCTGATTACTAAGAACATCTGGTTATTTTTTTTTAATCAGTGTTTTATATTATGGAGGAGGAATTAAAGTTGGTAAAGGTTAATTACATTTTAAACAAATTTAAAGGCCGTTTTTTATTACAAATATACCGAGCTAAAGTTTTCTTGATTGCGTTTGACTCTCTCCATGTCTGGAGTAATAGGTGTTGGGATTCCAGTCCCTAAATTCTCTTTGTACAACACCTGTGCATCAAAGGAGTATCAAAAATAAGAAGAATTTAATGGTGCACTTTAAAATACACAATCATCATGGACAATGCAGTGTACTATTTTTCCTTAGGAACTCCAAAACACGGACATCATTAGGGAGAAAAAGAACAAAACAACTCTGCATTTTGACCTCAATAATGTATGGGAGAAGATTGAACTTACTTTTACATATTCATGAAATATACACAGTTGTGTTGACTTTAGGAATCCAGCCAGACTATCCATGTTCATATCTAGTCACAGAGGTCATTTGCATATGCAGCCTCATTGGCCTTTGCCTCGGAACACAGAGGTCGTTTGCATATGCGACTTGATTGGCTTTTGCCTCTAACATTCTAAACAGTTTTCTGTTCTGAGATAAAATGTGTCCAATCTCCAGGTGAGGGCTGGAGATCACTCAAAATTACAACTGTTCTTTAGGTAGCAGAGATCAGTTCCCCTGGAGAAAATGGTGGGCTCTGTATCCTTATATGCTGCTGAGGAGGCCCCCATATGACAGCCAATGTGACGTAGCAGTCAGGGCTTCAGAGCATGGGAGAGGCTGCAGGTGTGTGGGGGGGGGAAAGCTGAAGAGTGAGGGGGAAATAAAGGTAGGTTGATGATTGGCTGGGAACTCCAGGTGGGCTGCCAACTCCAGGTGGGAAATTCCTGGAGATGTGAGGGATGGAGCTTGGAGAGGGCGAGGTTTCAGGAGGCGTGGGACCTCAGACAGGTACAAAGCCATAGGCTCCACCCTCCAAACCAACTATTCCCTTCTGGGGAACCATCATTGCCAATCTCCAGGTGAGGGCTGGAGATCACTCAAAATTACAACTGTTCTTTAGGTAGCAGAGATCAGTTCCCCTGGAGAAAATGGTGGGCTCTGTGTCATTATGCCCTGCTGAGGTCGCCACAGCAAATTGACACTGAGTGTCCAATGCCGGGGCACCTGCCCAGAGCCTCTTTCTAGAGGCCGTTCTATTTATTTCCACAACGGACCTTTTTCCTAGTCCTATTATATTAGACATAATCATTTAACTCTCCAGCAACTGAGAAGGTTGCTGGCCAAATCTCCTGAGCCTGATCCAGTGACACCCTCACCCCCAAGCCACATGTCAACTCCACAGTGCCTGCCTTTCAACTGTGGCTTGATGGGTCATTGGTCATGAGGTGGGCCTGAGTGGGCATGGTGGCCAAAGGTGTGGCCTGGATGAACAGGGGGGTTGGTACTTTGGTACCCACTCCATGGCATTTGAGTAGCTTTGATGGCCACGTGATGGGGTCTTATCTCACTGGGGCCAACGTTGGGCCTGGGGAGGACCATGGTGGTGCAGTTCTGATGGCAGTCACTGGTGCTGGCTGATGTTGTATTGCCTTACAGGATGCGGCAAGGATGGAGGTCAGCGGTATGATGGTCGCTGGCTCCGGATGATTGTTGGTGGATCAAGACCACGGGGCCGCATCTTTTCGAGGACACAGTGAGGGTTTACTGGGTTGATCTTTGCTTAGCTGATCTGCAAGAGGGTCTGTGGTTTCCAGGCTGGCGGGAGGGGGGTTAAGCCAAGGCTAACCCCCTCTGTGGCGGGAAAAGCACAGGTTGAGGGGATTTAGTATTGGCAAGCACCCTGAGATATCAGCGATGGGGGGGGGTCCTCATACTGGGTGCCTATGGGCTTTGCAGTCAGGGTGACTCAGTTGGTGGCCTCTTCGGGGTGGGGGAGTATATGACAAGCCTTAAGGCTTTGCAGCCATGGGCTGGAATGTGCCCTTCCTTCCCCTCTACGCACTGGCGTGCGGGCCATGATGAGTAAGGTCCGGAAGGACCCAGACCTGGCTGGGAGCCAGGGTGGGTTTGCCCTTTTAGCAGGCCTGCCATGCAGGCCCAAGGCAACCCGTGCTTTGTATTGGTGCAGATCAGCTTTTGGATAAATAAAATTCCCAGTTTAACCCATAACCTGTGTTGTGCTGTGTTTCATTCAAGGGGTGGGCGGGCAACTGGAATCGGGTGCACAAATGACTTAGCAGGTATATAGTGCAACCTGGGAAAAACTGACCATATGTTATGCCACAAAGAGTTTTGGAATGGGTGGCTGCGATGCACATATTGACATTTGTGGCACTTTTTATTTCTAGGAGCATGGCTTAATGCCATCCATTCTTATTCTCTCTTAATTGTTTTCCAGTCTAGAATTACCCCAGTCCAGCAAGGGAAACCTTCCAGAACACTCTCAATAAAAAGTACATATAATAACAATAACAAAACACAACATTTTATGATTCAATTGAAACAAATGTTAGGGTTTTATTTTAACTTTGCATGGCACCAAACAAGAACGCCAAAGGCTATTAGAACATTTCTTGTTATAAGAACAGGGAGAATTCACTCTGAATATCATTTGTTGTAGAACAAATAATATTTTTCTTTCATGGGAGGCAGGAAGAAGGAACATGGTGAGCGTAAGAGAGTTAAAATTACTGCAGAACTAATGCTAAAGTAGTGCTTTAATTTTCCACCTCATCAACTAAAACTTAAGTGATTTGATTAAAATGGTAAGGAGTTAATAATGAAATTCTTGTGGGAATATTAAAGCAAAATATCTAGAAAATGGGGTGTTGGTTAAAGGATGTATTTATAGATATTTTGTGATATACCACGCTAACGTTCTCCTGATTGCGCTTGACTCTTTCCATTTCTGGGGTAACAGGAGTTGCCGTTCCTGTTCCCACATTTTCTTTGTATGTCACCTGTGAGGTACAATAAGTTATTTCCAAAAGGCACTCAAAATAGTTGAAGTCATTATGGTATGTGACTAATACTTGGTAGTAATGGCACATATTTAAATCCCATGCTTGCTCTAGTACAGAAAAGTGAATGAAATTTGGGCATGATTATAGTATTCATTTGAAATGTGAATGGAGAAAGATGTCAAAGATGGAATATTAAGAGAAGCAAATATATGGAAGGAAAGGAGGGTGTTAATTTTACTAAGGCTGTAGGGTTTTTTTTAATGTTCCTTTATTATTTTCATGTCTCTACTCTAGCTTTCTAATTCAAAAAGTTAAAACAGATTGGGAAGGGGAAGGAATCACAAAAATAATATGTAGTAGGATGTAGAGAATGGTGGTTAGAATGTTATTTTTTTTTAAAGATTAATTGTTAGGATAGTTTTGATTTATCTGAGAAATACCGAGCTAATGTTTTCTTGATTGCGTTTGACTCTCTCTATTTCTGGAGTAACAGGTGTTGGGGTTCCTTGCCCTGCATTCTCTTTGTACAAAACCTGCAGAATAGAAGCACCCAAGAAGATGAGAATAGAATTCAAAGACACCCACAGAAACCTATGTACATCACAGTAGTTTGTCAATGTACTTTTTTGGCATGTAAATTGTTGGTCGTTGCTTGGAGGTTGTGTAAAATAGTCCAACTAGACATGTTACTACTATATTATGAAGACGTTGTGAGGGTTTGGGGTTGGTTTGTTGTTGTTTTGCTTGGTGACATGCCACAAAGAATTATTTTTATTATCTGCATACTGGTCAAGACTTCGGTCATATAGACCTGTAATAAAATGAATTGAATTGAATTATCTGCATAAGCATTATGCTTCTAGTAAGGAACCTTCAAGGAAAATTTGGGACTGTAGCTCCAAGCCCCAAGGATTACAGGCATCTGTTTTATGAACTACCTACTATTTAACATCCCACTTTGGTGCTACCATTTCTGGTAGAGCCAGCATCTGAGAGCTTCTCGTTGCTATTTGCTCTCCTGTTTTGGTAATGAATTATGGATTCAATTCCATCTTGAATATTCACACAATTATCATTCACACAAACTTTGATTGGAGTCATGCTGAAGGACCAAATCTACGGACAACTACATTACACTGAAATGACAAAGTGATGAGTGGAGCTTTGACTCACAAAAGCTTATACCCTGGAAAATGTTGTCAGTATAAGTTGCTGTTGGAACTGAATTTTGTTCTATCATATGAAAATGTAATCTTACAAAAATAAAGAAATAAAAGATGTTGGTGCACAGTTAAAAGATGCATTTGTCTGTCATTTCACTCCTTTTAGAATGGTTCCCCTTCCCCAAAAGGAAAAAAAAATGTTAGAGAGAAGAGTTTATAAGGCATTCACTCAGTCCAACACATAAGAAAGGTATATCAAGAGTTAGATACAGGATACTGAAGTATATCTAGAGTTAGATCAGGGAGTGCCTAAATGCAACTGCATTATGCAAATATAAATTGTAAAAAAATAATTAGTATTCTAACAATCTCAGAGGAAACGGGAAGGTGCACAGGGCAAGAGAGGAGAAGGTAATTCTTACTGGTAAAAACATGATAGCTCATTGATCATTGTCACTACATGTTCTTCCCAAAATCTCCCCCCTCATATTCTTGGGTGACAGGTGACAACACCTGGAGCAGGTTTTGGAGGGCATTTTGGACTTCTGCAGGAGGTAAAAGGCAGGGAAATCATGCACTGTGAGCAGAATTCTTTGCAGCTACAGGAACACTAGCTTGGATCTAAGCTGTTGTTTAAAACAGAATTGTGTATTTAGCTGGTTTGAATGTGGCCAGAGCATTCCGCAGCATGTGCTGAAAACCTGTCTATCACCACGGTCTAACCACAGGTACCCCTGTATGCCTATTGCTGATGCCATTCACAAGGCAGCTCTATCTTTGAGCCCTATCCCAAGGTGGGAACCTGCACAGACTTGTGGGAAGAATCTCATTTCTCCCTTCCCTACTATTTCCTCTTTC